CGAACCAGGATTATCCCCAAGTGGCTTGCCGGTAAGTTCGGGAGGCCCTGGAGAACAAAAGTCGTCCGTACTTCGTAATACGATCCAAAGTCAACAGTGCCTAGCTCACAAAGTTCTAAGTTGAGATTGCTCCGTGTCTGGAACAGTGAACGACCTCCTGGCCAGTACTTACTTTTGACTGGTTCGCTTGCTCACCAAACTGTCGTCTTTCGTGGGTTTTCAGCACTATGAGTGGCTGTAGTCATGCGAGCTGTAAGCCGCTCACCTACCGCTCGTTTGATTATGTCGATCTTCCCGTAAATGAGCCCCAACGACAGAGTTGGGTGTTTCGCCCACAATATCGGAAGTAGCAAAACGACCATCAAACATCCCGTCTAGCCTCGAGCCGAGATGCGTTTCCTCTTACTGATGTCAATGTGTCATCATTTGAAATAATCTTAGAACGAGCTGCACCTGCAGTCCGGGACCCGACACGCGGTGCTTCTAGTGCTCCGAGCGTTCCCTTAGTTCTCGACTTCTCAGGTCTAGGATGAGAACACGAGAGGCTGAACCCGACCCGGCGCTTGGGTCAAGTGCGGTGGATATCGCTTGACAGGCGGGTCGATTCCTGTCAGCATGGCGGGACTACAAGAAGCAACACTACCAGTACTCCGTACTTCAGCCGCTCTTGAAGGCCATTTGTGGCTGGACTAGGCATCCACCAAATGAGATGATCTATGATACGCTTCAGGGTTGCACCTTGTCGGATTGCCTTCAATATCCTAGGAATTATTGAGACAATACCTATAGCATCCTTCTCAAGTCGAGGTTCCATATGCTGAACGACTTTGGACGAGGTACGTAAAACGCTTGCAAGCAAGCATCCCAGGCCGATTCCTTGATTCAGGAACCACAAATCACCACTGGTCATGCTAGCCGCATGCTTCCCTGATCTACCGGGAAAAGTTCCGGACATAAAATCTGCGCCGTCGTGCTTCTGGCCTTGCTAGTCTGGTTTCTAATTGGCTCCGCCTCTCATAGTCCTGGGATAGGGCGTCTTCCCTGGGTTTCGGTGACGCAAGGTACTTTTGTCTGCTCGATACGTCTTTTTGTTCTGTCCCATGCTCAGAACCACACCGGAGAAACCGCCCCCAATCGCTTTACGATCCCCACACGCTTCACTTCTCACCCATTTGTTCAGCTTACCGTATGCCGAAGGTGCAATCTGGCAAGTGGCGCTCCATAAACGAGCTGTCGGACGAGCCGCTCGACCGGGCCTAGAACAAGGGCATTCTCTTGCCATGGTCATTGTGATGCATGTAGGGCTTGGCCAGATTTTATCATCACACCCCTCCGTCCTTCTCCGGATCAGTCGCAATCTCACCTCTACGCGTAGACTAGAGACTCGTTTCTAAGGCGGAACGCAACTCTGCCTCGGATCCGTTGTTCACCATCCGATTCGAACATGCATTTCGCTTGGTCAACTAGTAACCTGCATATGAAAAAGGTTGATTCAGGAGAAATGAAAGGGGCTGCTTCCTGTTCGGCCTCGTCCAGCTTCACATAGCAAACGGACCAATCTTGCAATCAGCCTGCGGGCTTGTGCACACCGCCATCCTCTCTTTTGGCAACAATTGTCAACTTGGTCGGAAGCTGATTCATTCTATGCCGGCTGGCAAGCTGCACGCCGCTAATCCTGCACTGCCGTGACTTTTTCGAGTCGTCTTAGGATAGCAACACGGGTCGGAAGATTTCGACTTGATCCCTGGCAAAAGGAAAACTGCATCGTTCACCGAGCGCGCCAAAGGAGAATCGGATGTCTCTGTACCTACTTCGTAGTCGCTCGAAGTCAAGTCTAGTCTGCAATCGATCGCGAACGCTCAATCTGACATACGATAACATCCACATAATGCAGAAACAGGAGCTCCAATCGGATCAGGACACTCTGGGAACCAGATGGTTTGGTAATCGGTGATATTCAGCTAAATTGGAAGTTGTTTACAGGCTACTGTGACATGAAGATAGTGTCCGAGATGTTCTCTTGCACCACTTCCACCGACTAAAAAGTCATGGGGGCAGATGCCCCCAAAGAAAGTGGTGCCTTCACTCCTCGACCGGTCCAGCGCAGTACGACTACTTCCCACCGAGCCAGACGGCTCGGAAGGTCACAGAAGACCGCGCAGGACCGGTAATTTGCTCTTCCAACGCTCCGTTAAGAACGATCCTGTGAACTCAGGTCCGGAGAAATACTCTCCTTTCCAACAGGCCGCCCCTGCAGTACCCAGAGTGGACTGCATCGCTGGTTTTTGAATTGACAGGTTGTTGTGATCGAATGGATCGACATACCAACCGCCCTACGAAAGACAAATGGTGGACATGAAACGCACCGATGGGGAAAGCAACATACACTTGGTCCGATTTGACAGGGAAACAAAGCATCTGTCTGCAAAATTGGGACTCACGGCGCATCTTCCCGTGCTTTGTGGGAGTGATCATGTCACCGACCCCCCTGCAGCTGCGATTCCGCCCAAGCAGGATATGAGATGCGCAAATGGTCAATGGTATCATTCAGTGCTTAGGTGCTGATAACAGTAGAGATTAGCTGCCGTGTATCACCACAAAGTTGGACTTGCGTGCATGCAGAAGCATCAACACGGCAAGATGAAAAGAAAAAGAGCCATTCGCTGAGAAAATCATCAAGGCACTCGTCATCACTGTCTTTAGTCATCATCTTGCCCCAAAACCAGCTCGCTTACGCTCGGGGCATGGAGGTATGGAAGTGTAGGGGATAGCAGGATTGCTTTCAAAGAGGATCCATTGAGAATGGGACTCAATAGTCGGGAGGTCTAATCATTTAGATGAAACAAAGCCGAAACGCTATGGCAGCCGTTAGCAAACAATTTAAAAGTGGAACTGCGAACGATAGGAACTAACCTTTCGCCATAGTGGTGGCGTCTAATGCTCTCGGCCAAGAGGCTTGAGATGTCAATGACAATCAACTTCTTCGACTTCTTCGCGACTTGGGGAGCGATGGGGAATGTGTTGGTAACGACAATGTGGTCGATGGCCTCGCATGCCTCCATCTGCTCCAGGGATTCATCCCCAAAGAGACCGTGAGTTGCAATGCAGTAAACCTTCTTCGCACCACCCTTCTTCACGACCGTCTCAGCAGCAGCGACCCAGGATCCGCTCTTGTCGATCATGTCATCGACAATGAAGACGGTCCGGTTGCGTACGTCACCGACAAGAGTGATGGTCTTCTCTTGCTCAGCGTGACGCCCCACGCTACCCTCCTCGTCGGAGGACTCGGCAGCATCGAATGAGCCGCCTAGCGCGTGGTCGCCGGGAAGGGAAGAAGTGGTTGAGATGAGAGAGTTGATCATCGACTCGGGAACCGCCTCCGAAGGTTCGCCGCTCGCATTCTGACCTGGGGTTGTTTCGCCCGAAGCAGGTACAGAAGTGGGACCGGTAGAAGGATAGTCATCATCCACCAGGTGACCCTGAACCAGTCGGCCGGTGATGACGTCCTGAACACGAACATCGGTGTACTCGTGTGCCGCTTCCAACTCCGAGGGACGACGAGCGCCGGTCGGGGTTTCTGGGCGCAGCAGGTTGGCCGCAACGAGCGATTCCATGTTGATGCTGGACTCTTCACGCGACTCTTCAGCCTGGCCATTGTCACTGGCTGCGCTGTGGATGTGCAGAGCGAAAGGATCTTGATCTTTCGACGAGGTCGTGCTCTCTTCCTCGATTGAGTCAAAGAAGACGGTGCTGTCCGTCATCGACATTGGGACCTTGGGACGCCGTCTATCGGTCGTGACGATACCGAAGTTGAGCTTCAGGGTATCGGCAAGCGAGGTGACACGCTTGGTGCCACCGGCATTCTTGCTCACGACCACCGCTTCTCTCCAGCTAGGGACGTTCATGCGAATCCATCGAGCGATAAAAGGTTCGGCGAACAGGTTGTCCACGGGCTTGCCGAAGAAACCCTGCATTTGCGATGCCTAGATTCATCATAACTTGGTAAGAACTCCAGTCGACGGCGGTATGGTAGACGGTCCCCAACCATGGGACACGGCCATTAGAGACTCACATGTAGATCCAGGGTGATCACATGGTCCACTCCAGCAACCGAGAGGAGGTTGGCCAACATGCGGGCAGTGATGGCGCCACGGTGGCTCTTCTTCTTGGATTGGCGAGAGTACGGGAAGTACCTCGTTGGAGTCAGTATCAAATGCGCAGGAATGAGCTTAAACAGGACCATACGGCATGACCGCTGAGCGATGGAAACAGGCAAATCAGCTATTGCACACACAAAGAGACTGGAAGCGGGATGAGAGGAAAACCCCACGTACCTGTGATAGATTTGGCGGAACCACCCTTGCAGGCAGAGATCATAATCAACAGCTCCATCACACTGTCGTTGATCTTTCCACTGCCGCTCTGAACGATGTAGACATCTTGATTCCGCACGGAGACGCCGATGTCTACTCTAGTCTCGCCATTGCTGAATTTCCCGAGGTTGGCTCGAGCCGGCTGGGTGCCTAGTCGCTCACAGATGGTCTCCGCCAGGGAAGGGTGGGATGTTCCCGAGAAGATTTGTACTCCCCGCATCTTGATACTTGGCTTAAGACTGAGAAGGCATGGACCGGTAATAATAGGAATGGATAGCCAACGTGGGCGGTGGAATCATTTCAAGATTACCGGCCCAGAAAGCAAGGAGTGGGGGATTGGGGGAGGATTTGAGGGGAGGAGGGGAAGGAAAGAAAGAAAGAGAAGAGAGAGGAGAAGAAAAGAAGGAGAAAAGAATGGAGAAAAAAAGGCCGCGGTGGGTAAAATTCGTATTTTTTTAGGAAGTGGGCAGCAAATGGCAGGCGGAAGGTCACGGGATTGTGTTTTGGTTCTGAGTGCTTCCTCAGGCTGATAATCGATAGGCGATGGCCGATAGGAAAACTTGCCTATGACACAACCACCACCACCAACCGACCAACTAACCGACCAACACATTCACAAGAATCGCAATGTCGCAAAAATTCCCTGAGGTCCAGGGAGGAGGCTCCCTAATCATTGCCTGGCAAGCAAAGAATAAACATATCCTGGTAGTCGGTGGGGGAGAGGTAAAGCTACCCCCCCCCTCCCTCTCTCTTATCGCCCATGCGAATATATACATACTCCATCTCTCAATTCTAGCATACACACACAACCCCCCTGCCCCTCGACACAGTCACACATAGACTAATCATTCTTCCCGATCCATCAAAAATAAAAGGTCGCAGCCGGTCGCATTCTCCACGCCCTCAACGCCGACGCCCGAGTGACGGTCGTGTGCCCCGCGGCCGGCCTGAACGAGGAGGTAGCCTACCGGGTGGCCCAGGGCCAAGTGACGCACGTCGACCGGACCTTCGAACCCCTCGACCTCGACACCGCCGACATGGTGCTCTGCGCCATCGACGACCCCGCGGCCTCGACGCGCGTCTGGCAGCTCTGCAAGGAGAAGCGCATTCCCGCCAACATCGCCGACGTACCCCCCGAATGCGACTTCTACTTCGGTAGTATGCACCGCGACGGGCCCCTCCAGATCATGGTCAGCACCAACGGCAATGGCCCCCGGCTGGCTAGCATTGTCCGCAAGAAGATCGCCGCCACGCTGCCGGGCAACATGGGCGCCGCCATCGAGAACGTCGGCCTGCTGCGGAGGAAGTTGCGCGAGACCGCGCCCAACGTCGAGGAGGGGCCGAAGCGGATGAAGTGGTACGTTTGCCCCCGACCCTTCTCTTTCCGTTTGTGTTTGTTTTCAAGTGCAATGTGAAGATGAAAGGGTGTTCTTGTGAGCTGGGGCTGATAGATTCTATAATGGGCAGGATGTCGGGTGTTTGTGAGTCGTGGAGCTTGGAGGACCTCGTGGAGATGGAGGAGCGGGATATGGAGGGCCTTCTGGCTTTCTATGCCTCCGGGGAAATTCCCCCGTTGAAGGAGATTCGGGCGAAAGCGACGGGGAATTGAGTACTGGGGACATAATCTATGGGGATTCGGTGAGTACTACAGTACAGGCAGTACTCGAAGCATCAGATGTCAACCGGTTTTTGGGCGAACTATGCGACATTGAGGCAAACGCACGAGGATTTCCATCAAGCTGAAGTGAGTGAACTAGGTTTACTATGGTCTATGCATGTCCCTACTCAGGACCTCTACTCTACTCAGAGCCACGCCTGAAAAGAGCAGTCTCGCAGCGAGAATGGGCGACGGGCAACAGGACCGAGTATAAACCCCTGCAACGCTTCCATGAAAGATGGTATTTTGTACATACATATATAGAGAGCCCGCTTGCACAAGATATGAAGGATAATGATAACAAAAGTTCGAGAGAAACGAGGAGCGCAAGATGACCGGGGGTTAAAGAACAAAGACGAAGGCTATGATGGAAAACTTAAGTCTAATACACCAGACAAACCTTCCAGAACAAAAGCGAGGCCTTCCCATTCATGAAAGGCGAGGATATCCAAGAAGAGAAGAAGAGGAAGAAGAAGAAGAAAGAGGAGAAGAAGGGAGGAAGATAGCAAAGACACGCAGAGCAGTATCAAAACGGATGATTCAGGTGTGGGCGAAAGGGGAAACTCCTGGCAGTGCAGGCATGAACTCAGCGCCCGCTGCTATGTTTACGGGACAACTGGCTGGTGACGGAGTTTCGATGACCCGCCGGCGATTGCGGGCGAGGTGGCAGACCCAGCTTGACCTCGCCGACACGGCGGAAGAGGGATTGCACGGCGAGACGGACCTCCGGATTCATGTCGCGGCCCAGCAGGTCGACGGCCAGGGGGTAGAAGGTCTCGATGTGTTTGTTGAACCCTTCCGAGGCGAAGTTGGTGTAGCTCTCGATGACATCCACCACGACCGGGCGCCAGGCGAGGACGTTCCGATGCTGCGAATCTTCGTCCAGTAGGACGAAGCTGCGAATGATATCCGCGCATAGTCTGAATTTGATTGAGTATTAGTCTTGCGCGGTGGATTGTGCAAAAAAGGTTCCTAAAGGAGAAACTTACGGGATGAGAGCGGCTTCGGTCTCCGCACGACTGCTCTTCCTCTCGTCTCTCTCATCATGGTACATGCGGAACAGGATGTGAACGTAAGTGGCGGCACTACCGCTTTCTTGCTTGAGCAAGTTCGGAGGCTGCTTCATGAACCCCTGACGCCAAAGCTGCATCCGCAATTCCTTGTCCTCATTGAACTTCTTGGCGAATTGGTAGCTCTTCTTCAGTAGGCCCATAAGCCGGAGGAGCTCGTTACTGGGGATCTGGGAGTAGACCTTGTCATTGGAAAACAACTCGTGGACTGTCTCGATCATGAGCAGCTGCAGGACGCAGTTGGTGATGATTCGATTGAAGAACCGACGTCGTGCAACAGTGACCGCAGCGGGTTGTTGCTGCGCCTCTGTTTGAGGCCGATAGTCTTCCAGTGCGGCGTTGGAAGCCGTGGGCATGTCTCCCTCCTCGTGCTCCGAAGCAACGTTCTGTGATCCGTTGATCTTGGATGGGTCGACACTGCTGGTCTCTTGGACCGATGATGTCTCGGCTGATTCGTTTGCGCTGTCTTCGCCGGTCGCCGTCTCACCGTTTGCGGGTTTGGCCTGGGTGGAGGAGGGCTTGGAAGTGATCGAGGCCGCGGCGGTAAACAAGTCGTAGGCCGTGGTCTTTGTGAACAGCTCGACAAAAGCACCAACTACCTTGTTCCAGTGCTCCTGCTTGAACTTCGTGACGTTTTGCAGGATCAACTGCTGCAAGCAGTTACTGCCGATCCTGGCGATGGTGTCATTTTCTTGACAGATGCAGAGCGTCAGAAGTTCAAGAATGCGATCGAGCATATATTCTAGCGCATCAAAGTAGTGTGTGAATAGCGTGATCATGTTCCTTAGAGCCTGGATCATTGTTGTCGATAGCCACACCGACAGCTCCTCGTGGTTTGGTACTTTAGACATCTCGGATTTAGACTGCAGCACTACAAAGATCGGATAGAGAAGTTGTCGCCAAAGCACATCCCAGAACTCTTGCGGGAATTCACCGCCGTGCCGGATGAGAGTCTCAAAGAGGTAGGTCAATGCCTGCGAGCGGACTTCGAGGTCATCACCGGTCATGAGGACGTCCTGGAAGGCAATCAAGATCGGATACCAGAACTGCTCTTCCTTCGACTGGCGGGTAAGTTGTTGCGTCAGGTTGGTGGCGTCCTCGTGGGCGCCCTCCGACGAAGTCCCGCGATGAGAGAGTGGGCATTCTGGCGTTCTCAGCATCTTTGAAACTGTTGACTTGAGGGTTTCAATCGCTTGCAGTGACTTCTTCTGGAATCTAGAGTTCTTGGAGAACTCTGTCAGACAGACAACGAGGTCAGGGAAAGCACCCTGAGTTATGACGACGCCGAAGCGAGTGTTGTATATTTGAGTAACATGCTCGAAAGCCATGTTCACAATGCCTTCGTAGGGCTCCCGAGCAGCGACTGTGAAAACACCAAACATCGTCTTCCAGCCGGAGCGGATGTTGTCACCACGTGCTTGGATCATCTGAATGAGGCAGCGGAGAATCATGTCTTTAACAGTCACAGCGCTGCTGTTCGCCATGACGTGTTCGAACGGCTTCAGGAAGTCTTTCTGGAACTTGAAGCCCGGCAGTTCCTCAATCTCCATAAAACGCATTGACAATTGGCGAAGCGAATCAAGAGCAAAGAAGACCACTGTCGTGTTTGAATGGCAACCTACTTGGTTGAAGTGTTGTCCAAGGACCTCCCAGATCTTAGACCATTCGATTCTTACTCGGGTCATGTTGTAGTAACTGATCTCTACCAGCTTTTGCAAACTGTAAGTTCTGGGAGAGTCGGTCTGCCCAGACGATTGAATCTCTTGCCAGCTGACCTCACTCAATGCCCGAATGAAGTCGATGATGGCCTCATGCGAAAGGTTGGCGGTATTAGTGAAAATTCGATCAACTCCTCTAATCATCTCGACAGAGCGACTTTCCATGGCAACCTCGGTGCGGAAGGCAGAAGGTCCGTTCAATGACCGAGGACGAGGGCGTCTCGCTGCCTGCATAGATTTCCGGGAGCCATCAGAGGACGGTTGAGGCACAATACGAGCTCGAGAGACATCTGGCAGAGAACCTTCATCCACCCCATCAGTGAGGAGCTGAAGTCGGTCAAGCTGACTGACGCATGTGAGGATTTCTCTCCAAGAACCCTTGAGATGATTTCCCTCGGACAAAGCAACATCAAGCAGTGCCTTGAGTGCCTCAACGTTCTTCGCTACCATTTCCCTGACATTACCCAGGTTCGTGAACTTGGCAAGCGCTGTCACGAACGCAACCCGAGGTGTCTCCAATTCGAAAGCACAGCTGATACGGATGGCCAGCTTCATACCCTCCATGCAAAGCCTGATCAGTTCTAGGTACTGTGTATCTTGCATTGGAGCGGATAGGCCAGACAGAAATGACATCCAGGTGACATTGAACATGGAGCCAACATGGCGAATTGAGGTCGCCGGGATGAAGCGAGAAAGTGCCTCCTTGACTGCTGTCTTGCGCTGCGCCCGGATCAAGCTGCGGTAAAGCTGCTCGGTCTTGTTGGCCATCTCTTCGGAGGCCTGCGCATACTTCTCACCTTGGATATCCCTCCCAACTGTTGCAAAGACCTGTCCAGCTCTGGTGGCCAGACCGGCCGGCGCAGAAGTAGGAATACCAAGGTTTGCGGCATGTTCCCGTTCAGTATCCAGTACAATCTCATTTTGTGCAATCTCGTCAAAGATGGAGCATAGATACTCGTCAGGGAGATCCTGATTGTCATTGATGCCCCGATTGTTTTTGATGAAGTCCTCCTTGTTCATACGGCGACCCTTAATCTTGGCACTGTGCTGGTCGGTGTTCAGCATAATGACACTGTAGGCGAGAACATAGGCAGTATCCGCATTGGCAAAAGCATTAGGGTTTTGAGTTACGTAGCGCTCAGCAAACTTCAGCATAAAGCGATCGATCTTTTGCGCCTCTCCCGGTAGACGGAAATTCTGCAGAAATTGACGAAGAGCGTCAACAAATCGTCGCTTGGAGAAGTCCATCTGGTCAACAAAGGCGTGCATGATAGCAATGTTCTCCGCATCACCTTCACCGAGATACTCTCCTAACATGGCCTTGTCCAAGCGGTCATTCCGGTACAAGAAGGCAGCAATATCTTCGGGTGAGCTCGAGCGCACGAAACCCTCCTGGATAAAAAGTTTGATTCCGCGCTTGGCCTTGAAATTGAACTGCTGAACCGCGTTGGTGAACGCGGTCTTTCTTTGTTTGACCTTTTCAATTTGGCTTGGATCGTCCTCCGCCACCGGAGTTGTGATACCCTCGATACCCTCAATCCGTGGGGAAGAGAGGAACGACGCGGTGTTCATATCAATCGAATCTCTGGGATTATCGATCGATTTCTGAGAGGACGAGTGAGGTATAGATGCGGACTGGTCGACAAGGCGTTGTGAGGCCCAGTTGTCCAATGACTGCAGAATCTCAACCAAGCATACGACCGCCTGGTTCTTCTGCGTATACTCGGGTGGCACATTTTGTAGACTTGGTTGTGGGACGTTGGCTACATTGGCAGTGGTCAACGAAGGGGGGAAGCTTCCACGTTGATGCCAGTCACTCCCCACGGAAGAGACTTTGACATGGTGTTCCTGATATTGCTGCTGTTGAGCATGGGTGACCGTAACGGGAATGCTTGCATAACGCGACAGCTGCTCGATGATACTGTTTTGATCACATGTCAGACGTGTTCATCCACTGAATACAGGAGGAGCGAGCACATACTTCTGGAAAATATTCTCCAATGCTGTTCTGTCGCAGTCATAATTAAGATAGATCTCAACCAGAGCGCGTGGGTCACCGGCCAATCGCTCGAGAATCTCCATGAAGTATTGTTTTTGGAAAGCGGGCGAATTGCGCTTTTCCAGAATGGTCAAATAAATCTCCTTCAGGAAAACCTCAAGTTCTTTCTGTTTCGAGTTAGCTTGTTGTAGTTGAACGGTGCTAAGAAGCCTACCGACCTTCATCATCACTCTCATGTGTTTCAGCATGAGCCAAAAAATTTCACAGCACACCTCGTAAACTCTGGGCACCGAGCTTGAACCATTCCGGCTAAGGCTCAGGCAGAGATGAGGTTTGACGGCTTGCAGAAATGTCATTGCATCTGAAGTACCCGAGCTAGTTGAGCTGTTCTTGATTGTCAAGAGCGGAGACGCGAAAGCATTGGCTTGGTTATTAAGGAGGTAATGAATCAGATGCAAGGATAGCAGCTTCGATCTCATGTTCTGGGATTTGAGGTCCTGCTGTTGATCGTGGTTCAGATTCTTGTGACTCAGCTTGCAAAGAGCCCTGAACACGAGGAAAGCATCCTTGACGTAGATTTCATCTTCGTCATCATCTGCGGTGCTGTCGCTCTCTTCGGTGAAGGTTCCCGAAGAAGTTCGGGCCGGCCTCTGATTCCTGGCGCGGGTGACCATGGTTGGCGCATTATCGTTGACTGTGGTCACCTCCTTATTCGATTCGAAGCTTTGCAGAGTGAGCTTCTCCCCTGGCTCTTTCGAGACAGGGTGATCTGAGCTTGCTCCATGAACTTCGTCATGCACATGTTCATCCTCTTGAGGAGCGTCGGCGGCCTCCAGCGTAACATTGTCCGAAGAGCTACCGTGCCCTTTATCACCTTCACGTAACCGCAGCTCCTTCAACTCAAGTCTTACGTTGACTCTATCAAAAACAGTGCTAACCATCTGCGTCAATGAGCCCTGGGCTATCTGCTGCTCTTGAGACGACTTGGAGTAAATAAAGATGTTGTAAATCTGGCGAACAGCTTTGAGGAGACCCGCTCCGTGTACCACAATCTTGTCATTGAGGACTGCCGCCAAAAGGGACTTGATGATCTGCTGTTGGATTTCAACTGGCGTAGCCTCATTCTCGAAGCATTCGCATATCGCATCAATGGCTCGCTCGATCAAAGGGGGCTGCTCCGGAGTACCTTCGTTCTCGGAGGTCTTGCTCTCATGGGCCGACGGAAATGCAAAGTAGGAGTAGGTGATCAACTTTCCGATACAGTCAAGCGCAGTGACCTGTAGAGGGATGCTGAACGATTTGGTGGCGAGCTGGAGCGGACGGAATATGACCTCAGGGTCAATCGGCTGGCCGTCGGACTGTTTGACATTGCTGAGCGCGCTTTTGACGGCATCCTCCAATTGTTTGCTCCTGCGGGCCTCCTTGGAAGCACCGATTGCATCCAAGGCACTGACTATGAAGACGGTAGAGCTGAGGGTTACAGAGCGATGCGTCGCAACTGTGGCAGTGGTGGACCTCGAGTCCGAGCGCATTCTTGTATCCGGGCCGAGCTCATCGCGGGGAGGTATAGAAGCCACATCGTGTCTTTCAGAGGGGGCTTCCTTCTCGACATTGGTAGCGGAATCTTCAGGCTGACTCTCGGGAGCTTTAACATTCAGATTTGATTCGGAGTCATGTTGGACATGGGGATCCTGGGGTACGGCGGCATCTGTCGGGGTTGCGATTTGGTCGGCTGACTCTGTGTCTGCAGTGGACTCTGGCTCGGTAGATGACTGGGCATTTTCATCCGGTTGATCTGTACCGATCTGTTGACGTTCCGATTCAGCGGGCAGGGTTTGTTTGTCGTGAGGGACGGAGTCGTCGTCCGACCGTGTCAATACAGCAGCAGCCGCATCCTTGTTGTCTGCCTGCGGCACAACCGGGGATGTTTGGGCGGGCTCATTGACAGAGCCGTTTTCGACTTCCGCCATTTATGCAAGACTCCGGTCGGAGTGGTTGAAGATTGATGTAAAAGGGGTCCACATGGGACTAAAGGAGGGACAGGAAAAAGAAACTGCAGGTGGAAAATAAACGCCAGCCCAACCTTCGTTTACTAACAAGACAACAAGCAGTTCCGGTGGAATTGCAGCGTGTTCACTCCCGCGGACGACGGAGATACCGTACGGGCGACGTAGTGAGCCACAACCGCGGCGAACTGCTTAGCTAAGCTGTCTCGGGGCGGCCGGCGATAATCACTCCGGACGGTCTCACCGGTAGCCTCAACAGAAAAGTTCCTGGAGCTGCAGTCCTCAACTCTTCGATACGGGCCCTTTCATCTGCCAGACCAGTCTCTAGACTCTCTTCCATCCTCCTTCTCTCATTCCTTCCCGTCGCGGGCTCATTTCTCGACCTTTTCATAGCACTTGGGCGCCATGGTTGCCTCTGCTGTCCGGATGCGCACCCCCAGCGCCATGTTTCTCTCCAAAGGCGCCCTTTCTCTGAGGCGGCCGCAGACCGTTCACAGATTCAAGGATCTTGCTCAGTATGTTACTTCGACCCGAATGAGTTTCTAAACGGCCACTAATCACACGTTCTCTTTCTACAGATCTCAATTGCCCTCCCTATCCGCCCTCTCCCGCTATTATGCCTCCAAGTGTATGCCCGCTTACCATCTTTTGTTTATTCTTGTCGCTCCGTTATGTGGCTTCATTGAAAACTGACAAGTCGGACTAAACAGCCTTCCCCCCTCACACTATCATCAGCATGCCCGCTCTGTCGCCGACTATGAACGCCGGTAACATCGGTGCCTGGCAGAAGAAGGCTGGTGATGCTCTCCAGCCTGGTGATGTTTTGGTGGAGATTGAGACCGACAAGGCCCAGATGGACTTTGAGTTCCAAGAAGAGGGTGTTTTGGCCAAGGTTCTGTCGGAGACTGGCGAGAAGGACGTTGCTGTTGGCTCTGTACGTGATTCCCTTTGCTCTCTTTGCCACCGGTAAAATCCGGTTCGTGTCGAGGCCGTTGCTAACCGCGCATTAGCCCATCGCCGTTCTGGTCGAGGAGGGTACCGACGTCTCGGCTTTCGAGAGCTTCACCCTGGAGGATGCTGGTAGCGAGAAGCCCGCTGCTGGAGCTGCGGAGAGCAAGTCCGAGTCCAAGGAGGAGGCTGCCCCCGCTTCTTCCACCCCTGAGCCTCAGCCCGCTGCTATCGAGCCTGAGACCTCGGGTGAGAAGCTTCAGCCCGCTCTGGACCGTGAGGCCAACATCAGCCCCGCTGCTAAGGCCCTTGCTCTTGAGAAGGGTGTGCCCATCAAGGCTCTGAAGGGCACTGGACGTGGTGGCCAGATCACCAAGGAGGATGTCGAGAAGTACCAGCCTTCGGTTGCCGCCACCGCCGCTGCCACCTACGAGGACATCCCCCTTACCTCCATGCGCAAGACCATTGCTTCTCGCCTTCAGCAGTCGATGCGCGAGAACCCCCACTACTTCGTCTCCACTACTCTGTCCGTGACCAAGCTTCTCAAGCTTCGTCAGGCTCTCAACGCCTCCGCCGACGGCAAGTACAAGCTTTCCGTCAACGACTTCCTCGTCAAGGCCTGCGCTGCTGCCCTCCTGAAGGTCCCCGCTGTCAACTCTAGCTGGCGTGAGGAGAACGGCCAGGTTGTCATCCGCCAGCACAACACCGCCGACATCAGCGTTGCCGTCGCCACCCCCAACGGCCTCATCACCCCTGTTGTCAAGAACGTCCAGGGTCTTGGCCTGTCCAGCATCTCTAACCAGATCAAGGATCTCGGCAAGCGTGCTCGTGACAACAAGCTCAAGCCCGAGGAGTACCAGGGTGGTACTTTCACCATCAGCAACATGGGCATGAACGCTGCCGTCGAGAGATTCACCGCCGTCATTAACCCCCCTCAGGCCGGTATCCTGGCTGTTGGCACCACCCGCAAGGTTGCCGTCCCCGTCGAGACCGCCGAGGGTACCGCTGTTGAGTGGGATGACCAGATCGTCGTCACCGGTAGCTTCGACCACAAGGTTGTCGATGGTGCCGTTGGTGCTGAGTGGATCAAGGAGTTGAAGAAGGTTGTCGAGAACCCCCTTGAGCTTCTTTTGTAAGCTCTTTTCCGCGAACGGGAATTCCGACCGGCCCAGTATTTTAGTTAGCTACGATCGGAGTTACCTTTACCTTTTGATGTTGTTGTAATATGTATTAAAACCATCTGAATCTTTCATCCCCTAGACCAAGATGGGTCCCCCTAGCACAGTTCATAACCCTTACAATGCATTTCCTATATTTAGTTCTTAGTGTGGTTCAAAACAGTAGACATCGTGTTGTTAGGCATGCAGATATGTATGAGATTGAAAGAAAGGCCGACTGCTGGAGTCGATCTGTCCTCTTAGATTAGCTGTGCCAATTCGCGTGAGCAAGGTAAAACGAAGCGGCAGGTAGCCTCGGAAACACCAAACACACAGAAGCGCAAAAGCACAAGCCAGCCATGGGCGAGATCACCGACCGGGCCTTGGCAGCGGGCGCTGTCGCATGAGGTCCGTCTATGACGTGATGTCATTCCCACCCCCTCCCAGCCATGGCTGCAACCAACCCATAAATACCTTCCGGCTGCCCATTCCCATCCCCTGAATCTTTACTCGAGATTTTTTTTCTCTGTAATACTTTACTCACTCTGAATTGCTTCGCATCTACAACTGGTGCGTCTCGACTCCTACCGCTGTGCTTAGACCTATCATGGCAGCACTCCCACCTTTCTTCATTGACAGGCAATACTAACGCATGACATCGCAGATCCCTACCACCTTATCACGCAACCACTCTCGTGACACATTGCCGGTCATCATGTCTTACGCAGAAGCCGCAGCCAAGGGTCCCAAGCAGTCCCCAGAGGAGGTATGTGTCGTCTGTTCCATTGTCGCTGTTCCAGCGCAACTATGTTGATCACCAAATGTACTGACAATGTTTCCAGGCGTAAGTGCATCAACTACGAGCAATCCAAACACCCAGCTCAACAGACCAAGCTAACCCGAGCTCTACAGTCGCGCTCCCGATATCAACCGGGTGTACCGGGATGAATCCGAGAGCACCGCCTCCCTGATCGACGTCGACTCCCCCCACGTGCAGTCCGTGGACGCCGATTTCCTCAACCAGGAGGTCAAGACCACGACGCAGGCCGAGCGGATAGAGCGCGAGGAGCTGGAGGCCATCGCCGAGCGCGAACGGATCGAGAAGGCGAAGGCGAAGGCGAAGGCCGAGGCCAAGGCCAAGGCCAACAGCGTGCGCCGCAACAAGAGCAACCCCGTCTACCTCGGAAACGCGGTCATCCTGGCCCTGGCCGGCGCGGGTCTGGGCTTTGGCGCATACAAGAAGCACGCGCAGGGTAAGCTGTCATGGCAGCTCGTCGGATTGTGGTCCGGAATCGTGGGCGCGGTCGGTGCCGTCGACTACTTTGTCAGCAAGTAAGTCGATCTTTTGGCTATACGCCGCTTTATTTTTGCTTGGTGTGTCGTTGCTAACGTGATTGATCAGGTGGCTTTTGCAGAACAAGTACCCTCCTAAATAGAGTGGGAAAAACGAAAACTCAAGTACTTGTGTGGTTTGATAACTTGATATCCTGATGTTTCTTTTGGTTTCTCCTGTGTGGCTTGTTTATAGTTCCATATACCGCACGGATTCGAGGATACATGGCGTTTTTCATGATGTCCAGGCGTTTGTGCTCGGTCGAGATTTAGCTAATTCCATCTCAATCTCATCCATATGCTCTTCTCCGCTTAGCTTTCGGTAATCCCATGCTCACTGCGATGTTTAGAGTAGATTCTGGATGATGCCAGAAAAGTGAAGTAGATTTCAGGATTAGCTTGACAGGGTCCCGTCGTTGATAGCCACGTAAGACCAGTTGCGAACTGCTGGAAAATTAAAGTTCGAGAATGGACGATCGATGTCGGTTGGATATGCATGGACTTGCATTGGCGGGAGGCGGTCAGCCGTGTCAGAATCGTGGCCTCTGCAAGAACATGTGGCCTTGGCTTAGCATCGTTATTATTAGCATCATTGAAACGCCTACTCAGTATTTCTTCAGAACACGTCGCTGCTCTCGCACGGCTCATTTACGCAGGTGCACTGTGATATACTGCTTTCATCACTGCGAAAGGTCTTTTCTACATCGCTTGTACAGGGCTCAAGTGTTTGTTGTTGCGCCGCACATCGTTGTACTAGCCTCTGTATACGACATCGGACACACCGCAAGAAAAGATGGTATGACCCTCACCACGTCAGGTCAAGACGAACGCCGGCCTTCAGTACTGCCTCGGGAGAAAGGGAAACGCCTTTGCTGATCCTATCGAACAGAACTCTCTTTTCAATTCCGCCTTGAAGCAGTCTTCTGCTATCCGCCGCGATCTGGACACATTCTCCCAGTCGCCGGCCACATCGTCCGCCGCACTACAAGGTGCGATTCTTTCTCTAGATGGGATTGTTTCTCGATGCGGAAATCCCGGGCTAACCTGCTGAACCAGGTCAAATCGCGGCCTCGCTGGCATCACTATCCCGCACCATCGATGACTACTCTTCACTGTCGAAGAAAGAGTTGATCCCGGAGAAGCAAGAGAAAGCGTTCGAGCGAGTGAAGAACTTCCGCACCGAGCTTGCAGACTACCGGCTACACTTCGAGCGACTGCGCAAAGAACGAGAAGATGCAGTAAGCACATTCCTCGGCCCTATTCTTCATACGCGTTTGTTGTGCCGACCGTTGCTAACCACCTCTTTTCTCAATGCAGCAATCCGTAACGAACCGCAACGAGCTCCTCGGCCGCCGCCCACACAACACCGCGACCCCCGAAAACCCCTACGCGCAATCCTCCCTTCCCAACCCATCCCCGTTCGGCAATCCGTCCTCGGCCCGATCGGGCCTGGGATTTGGCGGCGGCGCGGCCGACTACACCCGCGAGACTCATGCGCTGCGCGAGCAGAGCTTCCTCGCCAATACGGGTACGCAGCTGGATGAATTTCTCGATCGGGGTCGCGCCGTCCTGGCGGATCTGGGGCAACAGCGCGAGGTGCTCAAGGGCACGCAGCGTCGACTTTACAGTGTTGCGAATACGTTGGGGGTCAGTGGGGAGACGATTCGCAAGGTGGAGCGGCGGGCGAAGCAGGACAAGTGGATTTTCTGGGCGGGAGTGCTCCTCTTCTTCCTCTTCTGCTGGGCGGTACTACACTTTCTGAGGTAGGAAGCCCTTTGTAGGGGGATTAAGATGTACTTCCTGCTGCCATCTGGGGGCACTCTTCTTTTTTTGCTTTTGTTTTACTTGAGGGTTCATTTGGCAAGCGCCGGCGTTGGGCACTATATTGGTCGAGATATCAATAGCTCCTGTTTTTTCTTTTGTTTTTGTTCTTTTTTTTTTTTTTTCGTTTCTTTCTTTCTCTCCTTGGGAAACGAAGGCATGTACTTTCGTACTTTTGTATACCAGAGATGATCGCGCGATTATCAGATGGCATTTTGGAGTCCGGAGTTGAATTACTAGCGCGATAAGTGGAGAAGCCGGATGGAATCGCGTCGACGAGAGCAACATCCAAGTCTTGCATCACGTCGGCTAAGCGGAGTCGGATGGAGCACGGGGCAAGGCAACAAAGCAGCAATTGGATTGATCCTTGGCTCTCGGAACAGATGGACAGAGTACAGATAGAAGTCAAGGAAGAATACGGAATACTTAAAGCATCAATGATGGATGGATGGATGCATACTGGGGAATTCTCCTCCTTGTTGTGGTGGCTGGCGTGAGCATCGGATCCGGCAAGCATTATTATTGTTGGGTTCCTTTTAGCCGCTCCAACCTGAACCCACCCGGATTTCTTCCCCCCCCCCCAAAACCCTTTCCCGTTCCGTCTACTCTCACCGACGCCGCCCTCCCGTCCGTCTCTTCCTCTTCTTCCTTCTTTTCCGTCTCTCCTCTTTCCTTTCTTTCCCCATCTTCTCACTCCTCTTGTATAACCAGATAGATTATTCTTCTGTCTTCACCCCCCCCTTCACAGTCAAGATGTTCGCTGCTCGTCAGTCCTTCAACCTTTTCCAGAAGCGTAGCTTCTCCGCTTCTTCCAGCCAGGTAAGCTTTAAAAAAACAATTAAAAAAAAACAAACCGTGATGGCCTTCAGCCTCGGCTCTATCGTGACCACCGGAACTAATCATCTCAATTGCGAGCTGTAGCTTTCCAAGGTTGCCGTCCTCGGTGCCGCTGGTGGTATTGGCCAGCCTCTCTCCCTCCTCCTCAAGCTCAACCCTCGTGTCACTGAGCTTGCTCTCTACGATATCCGCGGTGGACCTGGTATGTCGCACAGCTCCCCGGCCAACACGGCATCAAATCCATCTCGACCATCGAACAAGAACAAGAACAAGACTGACCATCATCCATTGCAGGTGTCGCCGCTGATCTGAGCCACATCAACACCAACAGCACCGTCACCGGCTACGAGCCCACTGCCTCTGGCCTCCGTGATGCCCTCAAGGGCTCCGAGGTCGTCCTCATCCCTGCCGGTGTTCCCCGCAAGCCCGGCATGACCCGTGACGGTATGCGCTGAAGCCTCGAGCTCAACAAATCCCGGGCACAAAACTGATTGCATCATCGCAGACCTGTTCAACACCAACGCCTCCATCGTCCGCGACCTTGCCAAGGCTGCTGCTGAGGCTTCCCCCGAGGCCAACATCCTCGTTATCTCCAACCCCGTATGCATTGGCCCTCCTTGATTCACCAGCCCTGTCGATCGGCCACAGGACTCGAGCTAATCGTCCATCTCATTTACCAGGTCAACTCCACCGTCCCCATCGTTGCCGAGGTCTTCAAGTCCAAGGGTGTCTACAACCCCAAGCGTCTCTTCGGTGTCACCACCCTTGACGTTGTCCGTGCCTCCCGCTTCATCTCCCAGGTCAAGAAGACCGACCCCGCTGGCGAGGCCGTCCCCGTTGTCGGTGGTCACTCCGGTGTGACCATCGTCCCCCTCCTCTCCCAGTCCAACCACCCCGAGATCGAGGGTACCACCCGCGATGAGCTCGTCAACCGCATCCAGTTCGGCGGTGACGAGGTCGTCAAGGCCAAGGACGGTGCCGGTTCCGCCACCCTCTCCATGGCCATGGCCGGTGCTCGCTTCGCCGAGTCCCTCCTCCGTGCCTCCCAGGGCGAGAAGGGCATCGTTGAGCCCACTTTCGTCGACTCCCCTCTCTACAAGGACCAGGGTGTTGACTTCTTCGCCTCCCTCGTCGAGCTCGGCCCCAACGGTGTTGAGAAGATCAACCCCGTCGGCCCCGTCAACGAGTATGAGCAGAAGCTCGTCGAGACCGCCCTCGGTGACCTCAAGAAGAACATCCAGAAGGGTAAGTTTAATTCATGATCGACCTAGTCTTTCGACCCAGGTGCTAACCGAGTGTCATTTTAGGCCGTGACTTCGTTAAGGCTAACCCTTAAATGATCTAATTTTCTCATCTGGAATGATATGAACAAAAAACCTCTTTTCTGCAGCCACGTTCCTCCTTGTATAACAGTCTAGTCATTTTTCTTTCTCCCCTGCCACGCTAAATATTCCTAACCCGCCCTTGGCTTTTATATCGGAGGAATGTTGCTGCAGCATCATGGAAGCATGGGCATCGGGTTTTCCTTTTGTGTGTCCCGACGCCTCGAGGGGGACTGTGATGGGGGGAAAATGGACCATGACGTGTATTTTCCCGTTTCTCAATACAGATCAAAATCTATGTTAATGATACTACTCTTATGACATTGATGGCGATTCTCCATGCTGTAAGACTGAGCACGTATTGCGGTAGTGTAGATCTAAAGCCTGCGATACCGGCACAATGACTGTGGTCGAGTGGGCTGCCCTGTCTGGTCCTAGCATCATCGCCCGATCCGCAGAGTACAACGAGAGATGGAACACTGCATTACGTCAAATTCAGGCAATAGATTAATGCTCAAGACAGATCAAATGAATACATGCATGCACTCTCAAAAGCAGAAAAGAGAAAATCAAAATGAAAACCAAAATCAAATCGTCATTTCCATCATGGCTCATTAGAAAAAAAAAGAACTTCAATCCGACTTCGGACCAAGAATTGCGCGTGTTTCGTTCATGACTTCGTCGGAAAATTGCATGATCATCAAGCTCTCACCCATCTTGAGATTTCTTCCTCCCCATTCATTCAAAGACCAAAAGACAACAAAAAAGACTTGCACGACATGCTCGAGGGGAGATATTTCTTTCCAAACGCCAAATTGCTCTTCTTTATCTTAGTCATCGTTGCATTCGTCAGAATCAGGAGTGGAGATGTCAACACAAGTCGTGAGAGGTTGAGGTAAATGTTGAAAAGGATCTTGCAGGGGCAAGTCAGGGACAAAACGGCCGTAAGAAGGTAGGAGAGTGTGGGGGTGGAGGGCATCGTTGCCGTGTACGTAGCAGCAGCCTCCTCAGGTATAGCTTCTCATGGCGTCCAGGTATCCCGTTCCACCGCGGAGGTCCTGGTCGAATGTTTCGGCCACGGCAAGAACCCGCTTGATATGCTCCATAGAGAGGGGCGTCTGCTCGTTGACTGCAAGGGCTTGCGCTGTGCGGACGGAGTTCTTGATCTGAAGGGAAGATAGAAGTGTCAGTAGTTATAACATGGAGACTGACTCGTAGAGCAATGGACTTACCTGGCGTCCGTTCAGGTTGTGGCGGGCAAGGAGATCAAAGTCTTTGTCGGTGAAGGTGGCAGTCTGCACACCTTCCATGGCCTGGACTTTCTCTAAGAACATCTTCCAGACACTGCGCTTGGCCTTGGTGGTGAGGTCGCCGTAGCGGAGCGCCACGTGGATGCGGGATTGAAACGCATCATCGAAGGTTTCCACGCGGTTAGTCGTCAGGAACAGAATGCCTTGGAAGTACTCCAGGAGCCGGAGGAAGATGCTGACCAGGGCATTGCGGTGGATGTCCTGGATGGTGCGCTTCTCCAAGAAAATATCGGCCTCATCGAGCAGGAGAACCGCACCCCAAGAATGGGCAATATCCAAAATCTTGTTGAGCTCGGCTTCCAGCGTGCGCGAGTCGGTTCCCAACTCTCCTGCACTGACCATGTACAAAGGACGCTTGAGCAGTTCGGCGATACCTTCTGCTGTGAGCGTCTTACCTGTCCCTGGAGGACCGTGAAGTACGGCGACTAGCCCCTTGCCCTTGCCCTGGATCACATCATCGATGTTTTGGGCAGCTCGGAAGGTGTGGGACTCGACCAGCGCCTTCACAATGGACTTCTGGTTGTCAGGCAACACCAGAGAGCTGAAAGCCTCCTCGTTCCATTCAATCTCACTGATTCCAGAGATGCTGAACTCTAGCCACAGCTTCTCGCTAAAGGCGAACCCCAGGACTACTGGGCTCGCGATCAGCAGCTCCTCCTCGGTGAAATCCCGCTCGGAGGGATCGTCCACTTCGTCAATGTCCTCTTTCTGTACCTCGTTACCGTTCTCATCCAGTTCCACTTCAACCACGTGTGGCTTTCCCTCCTTGTCTCGAACTACCTTGTAGCGTGTTCTGGGAGTGTCGGAGTCCCGCGATGGCCCGCAACCCTGATCCGAATCCGAATCCGACACGCCACAGCAGCAACCATCATCGCTCCCGTCTCCGTCCGACCCATCAAGGTAATCCGGATCCTTGGGGCGAACGGTACTGATAGGATAGTTGGGATTAATGCGACGATGAATAGCCGGGTCAATCATGACCCTACCGTTGATGTTGACTTTGATCACAGAGCGCTTCTTCTTGTAGAAGCCCATGCCCTTGTGGAAGCGGTAATTCATGCCACGCAATGCTACGAATTTCTTGCCCCGCTCGATCAGCTTGAGCTTAATTGCCTCCGCCTCGCGATGATATTTCAGCGGATAACAGCCAAGACTGGTGATTTTCCGCGAGCCCTTGAAGGATTCGACCTCCGCAGCCATCGTGCCCATTCCGAACGACTTGCCGTCATATTCCAGATAACGCCCTTCGATGCTGTACCACTGACCTTTCATGAAGGACGACTCTTTGGTAGCGTACTCAATCTTGAAGGCACGGGGCTCATCCACATTCCCGTAAGTCGATGAATAGGCGATCGTGTTGGGCTTGAAGATGGCCCACAACAGGTCGAAGGTGATCATGTTGGCGTCGAGCAGAGGATACAGGGTCTTTTTGGTTTCCGCATAGTCGGTATCCAGATACTTGACGAGCACCTTCAGGTGAGCGGCCTTGAGTTGAGCTGCTTTGCGAGCCTTCTTCTTTCTTTCCGTCTTGGCCAGCTGTCGCAGTTCGCGCATATATTGCCGTGTCTCCTCCAAGTACAGGAAGAGCATGTTGGGATCGACGACCGCCGTTTCCTGTACCAGACTGACACCCTTGACTCCGTCCATCACCTTGGCCAGCGCATCGCGGATGTACTTGCTCTTGAGGTCCACCACCGTCTCCGTATACTTGTTGTCCCAGTCGAACTTGCGGCGTACTGTGAAGAGGTATTGGTCCCACTCGCTGGCACCCGGATCATCGACCGTCTCAGTCAATTTGTAGTTATGGATCGTATTGTCCCATACTAGATTGGTGAACCGTTAGTCAACCGTAGCTGTGAGTTTGATGCTGGAAAGCACCTGCTATGAATGGGGAAGGGTCGCAGCAGCACGTACATTGATCCACCCGCTTGAAAGCTATCTTAGACGCGGCCTTCTTCCGGCCCTTGGACTTCTGTGACGACCCCTTTGAACCATCTGCATCGGTTGAGCCCCGCTTTCTGCGTCCTTTACTGCGACGACCATCAGACAACTTCAGTCGCAAGGCAGCCAACTTCTGCTTTGCCAACAGCAAGGCCAGGTCATCCGAGCCGTCATCCTCGTTGTCATCCTGCTGATCCTCAGACGAGTCGTCCTTGGAGCGAGATTTCTTGGATGATCGTTTGGCCTTGAGCTTGGCGACCAGCTTCTTCAGGGTCTTCTCATCGAGATCGGAATCTGTGTCCTCGCCATCCTGGGACGAAGAATCTGAGTCTGAGTCCGACTGTTGGCGAGAGCGGGTGGACTTCTTCCTGCGACCGCCGCTCTTCAGCGCTTTCTTGGCTCGGGCCTTGCCGCGCTTGCGACGATGCTTGCGATCTACCTCGGATTCGTCGGAGCTAGAGGAGCTAGAGGAGGAAGTGGAGGCATCTTTATCTGCGGCGGAGTCGTTGGTGGTGGATTCTGAGTCGTTGCTGTCGGAGTCGGCAGCAGAGGAGCTGTCATCGCTTGGGGTGACAATGGAGGAGGTTTTGGTGGAGCGATGGGGCTTCTTCTTAGAGTCGGAGGAAGCGGCGGGGGGATGTTTGGCACAGACCGTTGTCTTTTTGGCGGCGGGTTCGGGGGCGGGGACTGGCGGCTTGGCCTCTGCTTTACCCGCATTGGTCTCCGCAGGCGGGTCACAGTCCAGCTTATTAGTGGGACTGGTCGTGGTAGGAGGAGTTGTGGTAGTACTACTGGGAGGAGTAGTATTTGAAGGATCGGGTGGAGGATGATGGTGATGTTGAGTGGTGCTGGTCGGTGCACTTCCTGAATTATCAGCCATGATGAGGATGTTGTATTATGATCTATACTATTCGAGTGGGTCAGTAGAAGCAAATAGCTGTGATGAGGATAAGTGAGTGAGAGGAAAAGGAAGAGGAAGAGGAAAAGAAAGTCGAAGAGAGAAGAAGAGCAAGAGAGCAAGGGCGTGAGAGAAAGAGAGAGAAAGAGAGAGAGAGAGCGCGAAAGAAGGTAGGAAAAGAAAACAACGAGAAGCACGAAGCTGACCAGCGAACAAACAAAAGAGCAGGCCGGCCGGGAAGGGCCTGTGGGATGGGCGGTTGATGCCTAAGAAAGCCGCCTTGCGTGCGAACTCACGGAGGGTTGTTGGTTGGCTCAATCCCCCGTTCTGGCGGTGTGCAAGAGGATCGGGGTGGGAAAAGGTGAGGCGACAATGCAATTTAAGGACCTGAAAAGGAAAGGGAAGGGAAAAGAGAAGAATTTCTATCACCATGAACCAAGGATGGGAAGATGGAAAAGAAAAAGAAAAAGAACCAGAGAAGAAACGAGATGATCAGCAGGAGCAGTTGGGAACCAGGATCATGGGGAAGGAGGAAGTTACCACTCCGTACGTACTATAAGTGCCCTTCAGTCACGGAGGACAGACTGACAGGCAGGCAAGGCTGGCTGGTAGCACTCAACAGCTGCATCATTTCCAGCCGCAGGCCGGCAGATAGGCAGCATCCAGGATGATTGACTGATTGACTGATTGACTGATTGACTCAGATGGTGTGAATCACACTGAGGCTGCTCCTGCACTGCACCGCGCCATCCTGCAGTCCGTGCAGCGCTTGGAGCTGCAGTGCCAGAAGAGACCCCGATGATCTCCATTGAGCTACTGGAGCTGAGGTGAGCGGAGCTGAAGAGCCCCAGGCTGTCTGTGCCACTGAACTAGATTGGAGGAAGTTGTGAAGAAAGCTAGTCAGCAGGATTCATGCTGCATAAAGGTGGACGGAGAGCCCTAATTGACTGCAGTAGTAGCTCGACAAGAGCTTTTCTCGTGCCATGCCAGGAAGCTGCCTACTATACAAGACCAAGCCTTGATCAAGCACATGACTTGATATAGTAACGACTCCTGTTACTTCCTTGTAGCTATTCAGCGTTCATCATTTTGACAATTTTGTCGGTAGCTACAGCAATAATATACTATTTATATAGTGTATATCGGCACATTGAGTTTGAAGGTTCGAACCTCACCTTCATGTCCCTCGGCCTTCACTCAGATCTATCACTATGAACAAGGTTATCAGCGACGCAAACATATCGATCCCCAGCGGCGAGTTTCAAGATTCATGTAGAGTGGACTCATGAATTTTGGGTTTGAAACCAGCTCAACCCACGCTCCAACATACAAGCAATGTGGTACTCCGTCTTCACTACAGCAACTACCTTCTCAAGTCGAATATCTCCTACCCAGATCAAATGGATCCTTGAATTGTGGGTTTAAATCCACCTCAACCCACGCTCCAGTATACAAGCAACGTAGATATTCCGTCCTCGCTATGGCGACTGACCTTGAGTCAAGTGCCTCCTAGCTAGCACAGGTAACCCTCATAGAGCTTTCATTGGGACTAAATGACTATCAACGATGCCAGAAAACAACCACCCTCAGCGACACATTTCATGATCCCACATCAAGTGGACCATAATTTGATTCTAACCCAGTCCCCAGCATACAAGCAATGTAAACACCCCATCTTCACTGAAGCAACTGCCCCTTAAGCTGAGTCCCTCTACCCAGTCCACGTAACACTCAAAACCCTCCCCCAGGTTCCCAAGTGACCGACCATCACCCACACGAACCAGATATCGTCCCCAGCGACGAGTGTCATGACTAAGAAGAGAGAACCCAGTGAAAGATGACATCGTAATGAGCCATGTTGATGAGAGAAGCCCACGCCCACACCCACCCAGCCTAAGCTGCCAACTCACCTCGAGTGAATTTTCAGTTGAAAAGTGACAGAAAGCCCTTTTTGCCTGTTCTCAGAGTTTTAAACCCTGAGTCCATTCCCACACACTCCCACAACCAAACCCTCCCCTCCCACACAACCATACCTCCTTCGTCCCATCAACGTTTCGTTGCATAAACATCACCGAACCCAACCACCACACCAAGACACTCAGCGAGTTCGCAACGCAAACAAGACACAGACAACACGATGAAGACCGAGACCGAGTCACCTCCCCCGGACCAGGAGGGTTCGTCCCCCTCGTCTGGGTTTACTCCTATCAACCGGAGAAGCATGGACAAGAATGAGGAAAGTGTTGGCGTAAGTGTCCTGCAATGTTCATTACCACCATGACTATGGCCGTGACATGACCATGATCACGACCATGGCCATGAAACCTGAGCTCTCGTCACGATGACAACCAAGCACCTCAGCACCAATCCCACAGACACGAGAAACGAGAAACCTCACTAACAACAATCCAGACCACCCGCAAGCGCAGCGTTCAAACCCGCTCTCCATCCCCCAGCCCAGGAGCGCCAGCGCCCAAGAAACCCAAAACCGAGCCCGAGCCATCCCTCTCCTCCTCCTCATCCCCAACCACCGACTCCGGCGAAGAATACAAGCAGGAAGAAAACTCCGAGGATGAGGACGAAAACCTCACCAGCACAAGCGAGGCCAGCCCGGAGCCCAAGCCCACACCCAAGTCCAAACCCAAGGCTAAGTCCAAATCCACCCCCAAGAAGCAACAGCAGAAGGCATCCAACACCACTACCCCCAAGAAACAAACCCCCTCCAAGCCCCCAGCCACAGCCAAAGGAGAGAGCAGCGCAACACCCAGCAAATCCCCCAAAACCAAACTGCCCCCCATCCCCACCACTCTCGCAACAGCCACCCCCTCCGACCTCCTCATCCTCACCATGCGCGACCAAGACCGCACCTGGCGCGACATCAACACCGCCTGGAAGAACATCACCCACCTGACCGTGGGCGCCTCGACGCTGCGCATGCGCTACAACGCCATGAAGGCAAATTTCTCGGAGATGAGTCAGGAGGAGGTATCGTCCCCCCCCCCCCTCCCCAAAAAAACCCGAGATATATGGGTCTGTCTATGCCGATGTTAACGTACCGCAGGAGGAACTATTCCGGCGCACGAAAGAAGCCGTCGAGACGAAGTTCGCGCAGGAGAAGTGGCGGATGATTGCGGAGCAGATGGAGGTGAACCATGGGAGGAAGTTCCCGGCGGCGACGCTGGTGAAGAAGTGGAAAGAGTTGGAGAGGGTGAAGCCGGGGAAGGGGCAGGGTGCTGCTGCTGCTGCGGTTGGTGGTGGTGGTGATGCTGCGCACGTGGTGGTGGGTAAGGATGCGACTTCTTCGTCTTCGTCGTCGTCTTTGTCTTCGGGGGGTGCTGGTGCTGGTGCTGGTGCTGGTGCTGGGGATGATGAGGATGAATTCGAGGAAGAGGATGGTGCTGGGAATGAAGAAGAGGTGGTGTAAGTGATGCTTCTACTTCCAGTTCAGAGGATGGACTTCTCTCGTCTCATCCGGAGTTGCGAGAGAGCTGTTCGCAGTTAACTTCAAAGTGAAAGAGCGGAGGTGGTTTCTCATGTCTTTCTTCGGCGTTTTCTGCTTTTCGCGTTGTTGATATGGAGATTGAAGGGGAGGTGAGATCTCTGAAAACATGATGAAAACGATTTCCTTCCACGCCTTGACTACTTTTTCTGCCTGCATGGTTTGTTTTCCTGCTACTAGCACAAGCATACGAAATAAGTGCTCACTTGCCTACTTGTCTCTCTTCTTCCTCTAATCACATAAAATCCATCATTCATTCGAAGAAACTAAGGCTCCAAACCAACAACTCAATAAGACCCACCTATCCCAAAACACAAACACCCGCCATGCCAAATCCCATCATCAAAGCAATAACCACGGAAGAAGCAGTGAAGAAAAGTGTGGGGAAATCATGTTGTACCAGACAAGCTCAACCAAACAGAATTCAACCAGACAAAGCTCAGAAACTCATCATCTCCAGACGCCCATCATGCAGTCGCCCATCATGCAGTCGCCCATCATGCAGTCGTCCATCCAGATCGCCATGACCCATCCCATGCCCGCCCAGATCTTTCATGTACTCGTCACTGTCGGCGCGGGCCACAATCGCCGGCCGGATCTTCGTGCCCACGAACCCCCGCCGGTCGCGGCCGGTGCGCCCCCGGCCCAGCCAGTTGTGCTTCAGATCCTTGCCGAGCGTCTCGACCTGCTCCTGGGCCTTGTCGCCGGTCTGCACGCTGGCCAGGACGCTGACGCACTGCAGCATGCGGCCGACGGTCTCGGTGATGATATGCGAGGTGTCGGCTGCCGCGTTGGCCCGGTGGATGATGCTCGGGCGCTGGGGCGGCGAGGAGAGAGACTGGAAGATCAGCTGGTCGGGATTGGAGGAGGTGTTGGAGGCGGCGCGGCTGCGACTGCTGCTGCTGCTGTTGTTGTTGTTGTTGTTGTTGTTGTTGTTGTTAATGTTGCTGTTGTGGCCGAGCAACGAGTCGGAGGAGTAGCTCCCCGACTGGGCGTTGAGGAGTGTCGAGGACTGGGAGCTGTAGCTGCCAAAGCCGGCGCCGGCACCGCCGCCGTCAAGCGAGGCAGCGGTGGGAGGCCGTCCGCCACTGGTGGAACTGCTCTTGGTGGTGACGCTGAGCGCCGCCGTGCCGAGCTTGATGCTGTCGAGACTCAGGCGTGAAAATGTTGACTTCAGACTTTCGTAGCGACGCAGGATGATTCGGTCGCGGAAGGCGACAAGAACCAGATTGCGCACATCCAGCTCACAGCCAGGGTACTCGGCATTGCGTGCGGACCCCCAGAATTCACTGGCTTCACGCCGATTCATCACAGACCCACAGCCTTTGATTTCCAGGTCGAGAGGCAAGAACACGGCCTGAATGAAAGGCAAGATTGTGCCGAACACGAGCATCCACACCTGCACGAGGTGCGGCACCAGCTTCTCATCCGGCACCCCGTTCAAGGTATGGTTCAGCGAAGCGAATCCGGTCTCCAGCAGTTCCCTCAGGTCGTCGACCACCGCCGCCGGAGTGCGCTTCTGCACACATCGCTGAATATGGACGAGAACCAGCTTGTTTAGATCTTCAATTGCAATGCGCACGTCCTCCCCGTCGAAGATCACCATCAGTTTCGCCTTCAGGAAGTCCCAAGCGTCCTCCGGCGTCATGTTATTCAGCCCAAACCCTTGGAGAGTCTCCCGCAAGGCAGCCTCGGCGATCAGCCCGGAGGAGCTGCCCAATGACGACGGCCCGGGGAAGACAGCCGGCGACCCTCCCGGCCCCTGTGAACTAGTTGCCCAATCCATCTGCTCCGATTCCGCCTGCGCCTGCGCCTGCGCCTGAGCCTGCGCTTGCGCTTTCTCCTCCTTCTTCTTCTCACGAAGCCCATGCAGCAGATCCAGCCCACTCACCGACTTGCCGAAGGTCGTGCTGGTGGCTCCCGGCGACGCGGGGGTGAACGAGTATAGGGACTGCGGTGCATTGGGGTCGGACGGCTTCGAATTACTCGACGCGGACGACAGCGGGAGGTTGTAGTGATCGTCGCGATCCTTCAGCTTCAGCTTCTGGCGCGACAGGAAATGGTGTTTGTGTTTCTCCTTGTCCTTGTCCTTCTCTTTCTCGCTCCCTGTCGGCCGATCCGCCGGCACGACGGTGCTCGCGGACGCATTCGACAGGTTGTACATGGACGAATTGTTCGACGGGAAGGTCTCCGCCAAGCTGGTGGTCGAAGCGCTGACGATCCGGGACAAGCCCCCACTGGGGAACCCCATCTTGCTTGGCGAGGGCAGGCCCCTTTCCTTCCCCGTCCCGTCCTTGTCGCGACTGATGCCGATGTGCTTGGGTTTCGAGAAGAGCTTCATCTTCGACTTCTCGCCCTTGTGCTTGTGTTCGCGCTCCTGGGGGATCTCGAGCCCAAGCCCGGGGGGCTGGAGCCCTGGATTTCGGGGGAATACCACGTTGGCCGCTGTCGTGGCAGCATGGGCGTGTCCAGCCGCGGTGCTGGTGCTGCCGCTGCCATTTGTGTAGGATGGCTGCCCGGCTGATGCGCCAGTCGCGCTGGCTGCTGTCGACCCGGGGGGTGGGGGAGGCGGGGGAGGGGGCGAGATGCTGCCGCCGCGTCGGGAACGGGAGCCGTCTTCGGAGACCCCTCGTACGGTCGCGGGTCGTTTCACGGGATGTTGGAGGTTGTTAGGTTGTTGGTGTTGTTTTTGAGGATGTTGTTGATGTTGGTGCGACTGTTGTTGCTGTTGCTGTTGCTGCTGTTGCTGCTGCTGCTGCTGCTGTTGTTGAAGCATGGCCGTCTGGGCCGCGATACGAGAAGCTGACAAAGAGGCCTCGGTCGAAGAAGCGGTAGGGAGCGATGGTTCAAAGAAACCCTGGGAGTGGTGACGAGAGCGTCGCTGCAGCTCAGCCGGGACGACCCGTCCCGAGGGCTTTCGACTCAGGATATCATTATGCGGCATGAAGGAGACGGGGGATCGCGCAGATGAGGTGGTGTTGGTAGTAGTGGTAGTAGAGGCAGTAGAAGCGGAGGTGAGATTGGCGGTGTTGAGCGAGGAGATACGCGGTGGCCGCGGCGAGGCAGAGGCAGAGGCAGAGGCAGTGCCAGTAGTAGGCGCAGGCGCAGGCGGCAGCGGGAAATTGGATTGCTGAGGCGAGATGGTGGTCACATTGGAGGTCATCGACGAGGCATCACTTCCAGAGGAGCCAGGACGGTTGTAGAAAGTGTAGGAATAAGAATCATCAAAGGAACGTCGAGGAAGAGGGGGGATGGGAGGGGGAGGACTCTGAGAAGCAGGAGGGGGAGGAATCGGAGACCGCGTCCCTCGCTCTGGAGAAACCGGCGAGCGCAACATTGTTGAGTGAGTGAGGGAGGGAGTGAGTGAGTGTACAGTACCACTACTACCTTGACTCCATGATTTGATAATAAGAGAAAGTAAGAAGGAATGAAGGTCTGGAGTTAATCAATCGAATGCAGAATTGGATTTCTGCCCCAGTCTCGTTTTGCCTGGAGAGAAGATCAGCAACCATTGAACCATTGATCAAATTGATTGATTGATCAATACCGGCTGTCGATCTCCTCCTGAAACCTGAACCCTCCCTTCCTTTTCCTTCCCTTCCAGGTCCAGTTTTCCCCCACTTTTACCGCTTTTACTCACCCTCATTCCCTCAGCTCTCCTATCTTTTTCTCCAACACCCTCCTTCTCTCTCCCAGACGAAAACTACATCACCACGCCCTTCTTCCCTCACCCTCATCCACCCAACCTCAAAAATCCAGAACCCAATCCTTCAAAAATAAAACCCGAAAAATCCAAAACCATGTCCTCAACAACCCCCACCACGCCCACGAAGCTCCAAGCAATCTACACAGCCCCCCGCCAACAATCCCGAACCTTCACGCAACCCATCGCCGCCCCTCTCCCTGCTACCTCCCCATCGGCCTCCTCAGTCGATCCCGCCCACATCCAAACCAAAATAACCTACCTCGCTGAACTCCGCAAACAGGTCCCGGCCCTGCAAAACGAGATCAACATCTTTCTGACGGAGAAGATGGAAGAGGACAAGAAGGCCGCCGACGGCCAACTATCCGAGAAGGAAGCCCAGGAGGAAGCCAATTACGGCGAGGAGGTTGTGGATGAGGAGGAGGATGCTTGAGGATTCCAACCCAGCAGCAGGTCGAACGCGAGAACTACAGGAGTTTTTCCCCGCGGGAGAAAGAAAGGGCTCATCTACAATGCGCCGCTGAACTACGCTATCGACAAATTAGGGTTTACTTCGATGTGACCGTGAACGTGAATACATGATGATGATGATGATGATGATGATGATGAGATTGACACTTTCAGGGAGGTTTCAGGGAGGCTATGACATGATATGATTCGAAAACGAAAGATGCAAAATATGAAAGAGATCGCTATCCCCCCGGGTATCATCGTGCAGGAAGCGTCCGCCCCACTCCAAAATGGCAAATATGTGAACAAGGAGATCACGAAGAAAAACAAAGGCAGATGAAAAGACGGGACGCAAATATACGATACCACAAGAAACAAGACCATAGCTTCTATTTACAACGACCTCGACATCAACAACATCATGAAAGTGACCGCTTGCGGTTGGCGCAACCCAGATGGACAACGGTATTACTGCGGCACAAGTCAGCAAACAACTTTTAAAAAAAAAGGGGGAAGAAAATGACGTACTCTGGATACACGTTGATCACACTGCCCCCGATCCGCTTGTGGCAGATCCCGCACACCCTCTCTTCGGTGATGGTGACATGTCTGGATCTCGACCGCTTGGGATCCGTCCCCTCCCCCACCAGCAGCTGCGCTTGGGTCTTTATGTTCTCGGCTTTCTGCAGGCTCGCCACGATCCGGCTTTCGTTGAGGATCGAGTTGGCGGCGCGCATGCGACCCTTGAAGTAAAAGTCGAGCTCCTTCACCGGGAGGGTTTCGGGGATCAGGTCCAGCGCGGCCCCGGGGGGCAGGCGGGACCCGTGCTTGGCCAGCACTTCGAGCGCTGGCCCATATCGTGGCTTGTATCCGTGGGGCGGGGTTAGATAGAGTGCTAGGAGAGTCAAATAGATCGACGGCTTGTCTTCTTCGTAAGCCAGCAGAGCCACACAAGGCCCGCCTTCTTCGGTAGACGCTATATCGTCCTGTTTGTGGAGATGGTTGCAGTATCTGTGAGAAAGTTAGCCGTGGGGATGATTCACTCCATCGCAGTGATTACCTACTCCTCAGCCTTGGCATAGTCCTCCAGCTTGAACACGTAGATCTCCAGCGCCTGCTTGTGTTGCCCCATCTTGCTGAACACGATTGCTCGCGCTTCGAACAATTCCGGATCTAGGGAAAGGCAAGTCAGCGGATGAAGATGGTGAGAGACAAGAAAACAGACATACCGTCGCGGTCCAGGCGGTTCAGAATCTTGGCCGGAGAGTACTGCGTGCTCGACCTGAGCATGGTGAGGAACTTGGTTCGCCACGCGACGTGGTCGTCTTCGCTAGCGAATTCCCACTCCTTGTTTCTGTACTTCTTCAGACGGTCCAGGTAGAGATTGAGCAGCTGCTGATGTAGATCCGGCGACATGTCGTTCAGCTCGCCGATGACATGTTCCAGGTATCGCACGGCCAGATTGACATCGATGGCCCGCAGGAAGTCCAGCACGCGATGCCGGGGGAGGGTCTCTGCGTTCTCCGTGTCCGCCAGGAAGATCTCCATGCCCAATTCGGGGTCCTCACGCAGCGGCCATTCTGCGAACTCGAGGATGAGGTCGATCCGGTCCGGCGGGAGATTCTGCAGGTAGACGACCGTCCTCTTGGGACCGTGCAGCTGCGGCGCGGACTCCTCTTCCTCCTCCGCCTGACCGAACCGCTGCAGAAGCTCCAGCGCCTGTCGGTGCAGTCTCTTGCCGTACAGGAAATCGATCAGGTCGTTGTGCCGACCGGTCTCCTCGAGCCTCTCCATGACCACGTCCGGGTCGCAGAAGTTCGCGATCCGGAAGAGAGACCCCGCCAGAGCAGGGATCGCATACATGTACGCCCGGAAGAGGGTTGTGTCGACGAGTTTGGCCTTCTCGCGAATCTTCTCCCCGAACTCGGGATCCTCGATATCCTTCGTGCTGGTCTCGAGCAATTTCATCACGGAATCAGTCAGTTCGTCTGTGGCCGCGTCCGCGGGCAGATCGAACACCTTCAGTGACCCATCGGGGTTGAGGAAGCGCTGAAACCGCCGACGGACATCGGCCAGGTACCTCTGCAGCTCACGAACCGCCAGCTTGAGATCATTGCCTTCGAGGGCCTTGTCGGGCTTGGCGTCTTCGGTCATCCTCGTCCGGATACTGGCCGCATCGTCGAATGTCTCCGTCTTGGACCGCAGCAGCGACATGACCGACGGGGCGTGCGAGAGCGTCTTGGCCGTGGCCGCAACAGCAGCCTCCGCCGTGTGATTGCCATCCACCTGCTTCTGGTTGTCGGGGGTCTTGGACGGGCTCTCGGTGGCGCTGTCTTCGGATTCCTCCTGCTCCTCGGGGACCGACGATAGCTCTCCCGCCACGATCTTGGGATAGAGCCTGATCACCGTTTCCGGTGGCGCAGAGATCTCGGTGAATATATCCATCGCGTCCGCATACTTCCGGAGTCGAAACAGCCCTTCCGCTTTCTCGAGCTTAATCGCACGTAGCCGGCCCTGCTTATCCCTCAAGAGCGCATCCTCCAGCATACTTGTCAGACTCACGGCCTCGTCCAGGAAGCCCTTCTCCACCAGCGAGTCAATCTGAGTATCGTAGCTCAGCGCTTCCATGCGCCAGATCGTGCGCTCGCTCGCCACCAGGAACCCCTTGCCCGCATGGGCCAAGCTGATCGTGGGCTGGGGGATATGTAGGATATTGGCGGAGGGCAGTGGAACCGACTGGAGTAGCGACAGCGTCTCCGGGTTGCGCACCTCCAGCACCCCTTTGGACGCGTCATGCAGGGCGAGCAGAAACGGATACGAGTACCCGATATCCGCCGGCGCATGGCTCCAGGGGATCTGGCGCCTCCCCAGCGACGCGCCATTGATATCGATGAACTGGGTATTGATATCCTTCGCCAACAGCACCTGGCCCTCGGACAACCTCGTCGCCAGAGGCTTGGGGGCCGACCCGCCAATGCCGATATAACTCATACTGGCGACCCCGACCCCCGTCAACCGGCCGGTTTCCTGGCCACCCAGCCCGCCGATACTCCCGGGGCCGACCAAGTCCGTCACGCTGGCCGTCTCGATATCGACCATCACAAAGCTGGACCCCAGCCCGGCCACCAACCTCGTCCCGGACACCCACGTCAGCGTCTTGATGCCACTGACCAGCGTCATCTCCACCACCTCGCCCTCGACCTCCATATCGCGCCACACCCACAGCAAGACCTTGCGCTTCACCGCCACCGCCAGCCGCGACACGATCGACGGCACCCCGGTCTCGGGATCATTGACGATATTCGACGTCACCGCAAAGGTCGACGCCCCCTTCGTGCGAGTCATCTGCTCCTGCAGCGCATACGTCTGCAGATCATGGATCGAGACATACCCGCCCGACAACGAGACCAACAACTTGGCCTCCTTGATCAGGGCCAACTGCTCCACCTTGTACCGGGAGAACTTCTCGACCTCGCGCAAAAGATCCGTCTGTTTCGATTTGACCGGCACATGTGGTGCTGGTGCTGTGGCTGGTGCTGTGGCAGCATTCGCATTCGCATGATCTGCAGCACTGGCCGCTGGATTCGCATTCTCCGCTCCACCACCACCACCACCACCACCACCACCACCACCACCACCATCAGCATTACGAGCCAGTCCCGCCGCCGCCGCCGCCGCCGTCTTCGTACCAACACCCCCATTAACATTATTCCCAAGCGCCTCACCATCACCATTATTCCCATGTGTATCATCCTGATGACCGTTCATGCCCTCATCACCATCCGCAGCCTCCTTCTCCACCTCATTCACCCGATACACCCGTAAACTCCCATTATTCAATCCCACGAGCACCCGGTCCCCGTACGTGAGAACGGACTCGATGCGCGACCGATCGCGCGGTTTGAACTCGACGAGCGGTCGAGCGGTGAAGGCGGATAACATGGTTCGGGCCCTAGGTTCCTTCGGACCCCCTTTGGGAGAAAAAACCGTCCGAGGGGTCGTCGGGTTTCAGGGTGTTGGTGAAGGGATGGAGGGGGAGTTCGGGCGCCGAAAAATCACAAAAGGCAAGGTGAGTAAAAGCTCAAAGGGGGAGCTGTGGGCGGGTTCGCGTTATTGAGTTGTCGCCTGAGGGTAGTAAGGGTTTGCGGTGTGAACGTCGAGGCGAGTCGAGTCGGGGGTTGACGGTGGTTTCTCGGGGTAAGTAAGGTACTGTATGTGTTGCGCGGGATGAGGCTCGAGTTTGTGTAGCACCCGTCTCTATTTTATTTTATTTTTTTCTATCTTGCTTTCGAGCCGGGAGGAGGTAGAGGCATGTCCGGTGCTTCTCGGTGGAGTTTTGAGGGCGAAAGAGGGAGGAGGGGGAGTGGAATCAACGGGCCGAGGTGATCACAGCCATGATATGTTGAGGTGGTTGTTAGATTAAGGGTTGCTGTGTGTGTGTGTGTGTGGTAGGAGATAAGATGGGGAGTCGCTTGTTGCTGAGGACAGCCCTCAATGAGCAGTGCTATAGTATAAGATAGTGTGTGAATCGTGTTGTGCAGGGAGTAAATGATTAAACAAGAGAGAGGTTCGGTTCTATAAGTGAAGCTGCCCGGCCGCAATCCATCCGGACCTGCCAAGCCCACTACGGCGAGCTACAGCTGCCATTGGATGAAAGCACCCAAAGCCATCCATGATGTCTTGAGCTTGACGCAGCAGGTCTCTTATACATATCTTGATGCAATTGGAGCTGTGCTAATCCAGACCTAACTCAACATCTAGACACATGCCGTATATTTGACAAGAGGTCTGTCTTTAACAACACAGTTGAATGGCTCGGCGGGAGGGCTGTCAATGTCGGTCCTAAGGTATCTATCTAACTTATCGCTTCCGTCATCGACGGCCTGAGGCTTTATCTACCGCTCACCGCTGGCCATCATCACCTCCGGCCGGGCTTGAGCTTGTCCGCCCATTGGCGCATGCTGTCCAGAAACCCACTACTAAGTACCTAGACCCACCAGGCCACGACAGAGAGAAAGAGCCAAAAGAACAGAAAAAAAAAGTATTGGGACGAGCCGGGCTTGAACCGGCCACCTTCAGATTAATGGCCGAAGTTGGTACTTCAGTCTGACGCGCTCCCAGATGCGCCATCGTCCCAGAAATGTTGAAACATGTGCTTTTTTCTTGATTGTTATAGAGCATCTGAAGATTTACACTAGACTTTAACACTACCTGTTCAATTCCAGATGCGTCACTGCTCCAATTGGTAACATTTTGTCCTGCGAGCAAGTCTTGAACAGAAACGAGGTAAAGTCAACCTTAGGATGAAGAGACACGTGCAAGAGATTGAAAAGATTGATCTTATTGCTTCTGCGTTTGGCATTAATCACAGCCAAGCTACCTAATAGCCCCACGCCGTAACCTTCGGGTATCGCCACGACAGATGAACGTTGTTGGCAACAAAAAGTCCACAAGGGTTGCAACCAATGTGAAGAAGAGGTGCAGACCCAACCCTACCTCCTTTAACCAGGGCCCCAAATCTCTCTGGAAACAAATGGAAGAAGAGTCACACGAGAGGAATGAAAAAGCAATTATGTAAAACTGTACAATAAGAATGTTTGGTAAAGACTGGCAGGAATCAATCAACCCAAGTTATGCCCAACCAGCATGCATGTTTTCAATAAGCGCCCCGATATGTGCAGATGAAGAGTAAACTAAGTCTCGTTAATTCTATTTCGTGCCTTGTAAAATATGCTCACGCCTTGGTTTCCGTGGAGTATTCCTGGTGCTTGGCCGACGTGCCCTTAGCACGCCAGGTCGACACGGCAGGAATATCAGCCTTGAACCGTTGTTCCTCCGTACCATATGCACGCGGCGTAAGTTTGATAAGTGTGTGGAGGGGGACCTCCATCCAGGGACTTTGCTCCTGGGGTGTGTTGAGGAAGTAGGCGTAGATGCAGCGCAACACAGCCTGGTGCGTCACAATGATCACGTTCTCACTGCGCTCCAACTCCATGATAATAGGCTCCAAGCGAATGACTACATCGCGGTACGATTCGCCACCCCGGTAGCGGTAGTTGTACTTGTCTTCGTCGCGGGCGGCAAAATCCTCGGGGTACTTCTCGGCAATCTGCTCGTAGGTCAATCCGTCACAGACTCCCGAGTCCAGTTCATCCAATGCCTTCCACTCCAGTTTCTCGAAGCCAGTTTCCGCAGCCAGGTGACGTGCTGTCTGGATGGTGCGTTTTAACGTGGATGTCCAGATCACAATCTTCGTGTTGGGCGGTACACCGGACTTCTTCAGTAGACCAGGTAGAGCTTTGGCATAAGCCTCTCCACGTTCAGAGATGTTAGAGTCGCCTCCAATCTTTCCAGTCAAGTTGTACTCCGACTCTCCGTGCTAGAAGGTGATGAGTACAGGTGTGTAGATGCACGCATGGTCAGACTTACGCGAGATAACCAGATCGAGCGAGGCTTGATATGGAGATTCTGGATGTAGTAGACCAGTCGACTGGACAAATAGTCCTTGATCTGGTTAATGATGACGGTGGAGCCAACGTTGATGAGTTTTACGTAGGTGTAGCTCTTCTCGCCGTCATCAATGGTCTCGTAGACTTTCTCGTAGTTGCGGATCCGCTCGCGGAAATCCCGGGCAGCAACCTCCGGGTCCTGCCCCTTGTAGTCCGGCGAGGTCGTCTTGACCTCGAGGATGTTGTTCATAATCAAGTCCTCTTCGTCACATATCGACTCGACGTACAACGTCTCGATATTAGCTTCCCGGCAGCGCTCATTGATCCAGCGGCGGCGCTCTTTCGTCGAATTCGTCGCATCGAGGATCGCGACCAATCCCTTGCCAGCATCGAACCACTGAATCATATCTGTGATGGCAGCATCGGCCGCGGCACGGCGCATCTTCTCGCCCTCCTCGTTGTGGGGGTCAAAGAACGTGGCGCTTGGCTGCGGTGTGCCCTGTCGGCGATAGGTACCGACATTGAACACGCGTGCAGGAATACCAACCCAAGCGAGATATCTCATAGCTGGTCATGATGTCAGTTATTTTCACACCGGACATGGGAACTTGATTACTCAACGCACCTTTGCCCGCTATGAGACTCTTGCCTCTAGCTGGGAGGCCAACCATGACCACACATATTTTCGACTCATCTGACTATCAATAGGCAAATAAGCATCCAAGGCAAGACACAGAAAATCGCAGACGACGCCATGTTTAAGAATTGTGTGGCAGAAAATAGCAATGGGGTGGGTGCGAGCTGCGACAACCCGCCCGGAACTCAGCATTATGTCCCCAGCGGGCATTCTAAGGAGATAAGTCTTCAATAAGACAAAGCCAGCATGACACTGGCCTTGTGTCACTCAGCACAACCCAGACACATTGCGACGTCGTTTGCAAGCTCCAAAAGAAAAAGCAGAGGAAAAGATATATTAAAGGTTGCGACCAATCAAGGCACGTGCAATGCAAACACCCGACGAACAAAAAGCATGGCAACTTACGCTGGCGAAGTAGTGAGTCTTGCCGTGGCCATTGTCTCGACGAATTAAACCCGACGACATGATTCCAATTGACTATTGAACCTGAAGTATTGTGCAAGCAAACGGAGGGAAAAGAATCCAAGACCTCGGCCACCAGGGATGTCCGGTCGCGGACAAAAGGAGCAGGAGGACTAAGGGCGTGAGAGAAAAGAAACCGCTCGTGTGAGAGAGAGAGAGTGTGTGTAACTCTGTAGTACTCCGTATATAGAAACCTTTTTTTTTCTTGGCTTGACTTGTAGATGTGCTGTTGGAAGTTGTCGCTAACCACTAAGAAGCGGACAGGTCCGGCTGTCTCACGAGGGGGGATCTTTGGTAGGGAAGAGGATAGCAGTGGTGAGTACGGAGTGTAGAAGCAAGAGTAGTAAATTGATCAACAGATGACTCTGGTTGGATGGGCATTGAAACCCAACGGGGGGCGCGGTCGATGCGGTGAAGAGAGTTGAAAGAAGACAGTCAGTCGCAAAGTGTGAGGAAGAGCACAGACGTCATGCCGCGGGGCAGTTGCCGGCGACGCTGTGGGTTGGTTATTAGTGATTGTCTAGGCAATGATGATTCAATAGTAGGTCAGTAGTTGTAAGAATAGGAGGTAGACCCTGTTCTGAGTTTCCTCCACGCAAGATGATGAACTTTTTGGTGCAGAGGTGCGCTTGAAGCAGCTGAGCCCTCCAGATTGTATGGTAAAAGTAAGAAAAAAAAATATTATATATAATAATGAGAAATAAAAGTAATCACGACCGGCGCACTTGACTTTTGACTAGACCACTGTAAGTTACGATAAATGATTTCCGTCTCCCTCCCCGGCCGGTCCCCTTTTCCCCGGTCGGATTGTCCAATCGGCCCGCACGTGACCCCATTGCGTTTTCGTGTCGGGTAAAATCGTAACCGTCTGTTGCAAATGGGCTCAGTGGGCTCAGTGAATTACCCGACTAGGACAAAAGTGACTCACGGTCGCCTGACTTGCGCGGTTTTTCTTCGCCAATTTCGAGGCATTTGAGGCGTGAAGTTGCAGGTCTGGCCATCATGCCTCGCCTCATGTCTGCCGATCGGGATTTCGTCCCTTGCATTGCCTGCTGGTGGGACTGGGGATGACAGCCTGGAGCGCCAATTGTCCATCGGTCCCCCTGCCTATCGTCCCATTCCTACAGTATTGATCCCCACGCGTCCGGCGACGGAGGATTATGAACCTACATGTACTGAGGACGGTAGATCCATACCATCGATCTGGGCTTCAGGAAGAACGAAGATCATGGATTTATCCGCTAGTCAAATCACTAGCTAAAGAGCAAATACTCGTACAAGAAAGGGAACCTGGCCGGTAATATTCCTTAGATTAAGCTAATCTCAGCCCTAAAAATAACTCCGTTTTGGTCGACTCTATCGTCATTAGATCTGGGAAACCTTCCCGTTTTTAGAATTTTGGTGCCTTTTCTGTGCCTCGGATCTGCACCAGGATTTGGGGAGCCTCAAAAGACGGAAAACCAATACCCCTCAACAGAGGTGCTCCCAAGGGAGCGATAACGTCGAGGGGGAAGCGCGGCTTTCTTCCAGCGACGGTGGCTGTGGTTTTGTGGTTTTCTTCTTTTGATCGGCTGCCCCCTAGCCATGGGTTGAGGATCAGACGTAGTAGAACGAGGCAGAGAATGGAGGTCATGAATCTCTTGTGGGAGAGTGTCGGGGTGAGAAAAAAAATCACCCCTCCCGTTTTATGTTTTGTCGTAACAAACGTCAAGCATGTACTTTTGGCTTTAAGAGGGTATGCAGGAACTTTTCTTTTTCGTGTCGTGAGAAGGGTTGGCCGAATCAGCCGTATAGCTGGGAAGCACAACTATACGCCGACCGCAACCTCAGCAACAGCATTGGCATCGCCAAGAGCAGGGACTGCTGCATCATCCCGGCTAGACGGCCACTTGGGACGTCTCTCCTGGGTGTTGGTTTCGCCACGAGCTCTCTGGACCCGCAGCATGGAGCCCCAGGGACCCTCCTGGCGGTGCAGAGCGCCCATGGCGTTCTCAGCCTCATCGACGCTGTCGAAATCGACAAAGAGGTAGTAGTGGTCACCGGGCTCGAACCGCTTGGCGGGGTGAGGGGCGAACTGCTTGCTGACGTTCTCACTATCAGGCGACGTTAGCTTCGTATGGCATCAAATGCCGCCGGGCTAGCCTTACACATTGTATCCCTTGAAGAAGTTACGGATGTTGATGTTGAGAGCGTCCTGATCGGTCAACTTGGGGAGACCACCGACGTAGAGACGGCGGCTGGCATCGTTGTTGACGGGTCGGGCGGGAGAAGAGGGAGTATCATCGTTGCCACGGCGCCACCGGTCAGCGCTGAAAGGCGAGCTTCTCACATCACGAGGAGAGCCATCCACGCGCGGTTGCTGCTGCTGCTGCTGCTGCTGCTGTTGCTGCTGCTGGGACCGCTCACTGGCGGACTTCACAACACCCGGCTTGATCTTGACTGGACGGCCAAGCATGTCCCGGCCATCCAACTCAACCATGGCCCGCTCGGCCAGTTCCTTCGTCTCCAGATCAACAAAGCAGTATGAGGGGTTGCGGCCCGTGAAGGGGTCAATGGCGATATCGATACGCTCGCTAGGAAGCACTCAGTTTGGGGGCTCATCAACAGATAAGAGTCGTTTCGCATACATTTGGAACTCGGCAGCGGTAAAGAGTGCTTGCACATCCTCCGACTTGGCCGTGTAGGGCATGTTACCCACGTAGAGACGGCGACCCTCAGAGATAGCCTGCGGCACGTGTGCGCTGGGTCTGCTGAAAGCGAGTCTCGAGGTGCTGGTCTTGGGGCCCGGGGACCCGGCGCTCTGCGCACTCGGGCTCTCCTCGCCCTTCAGGCGCCAGTTGGGAGAATGAAAAGCACGGCCGGTGGTTCTGACTCCATTTTGGTAGAAGTTTTTTTGGGGGGCTAGACACTTGTTAGTGACGGGTGCTTCAAGAAATTGTGCTGATCGCAGCCCCTAGAGGAGCCCGAATGCAAATCGCCTACACACTTTGTTGCTGGGGGACGGGGCTTTCAGGAGTGTCGGCCATTATGACAGAGATTTTCGGAGACTCGAACAAAGTCAGGATCGGTAGTGACAGGGTATAAGAATCGGTAGCCTATGCGATGAACGACAAATTAGCATGGTATAGTCGCATGACTGCCGTAAATACACGAATTTCCTAAATTGACAAGAGACGATCAGGGCAGATTGGAAGAAAATCATACCTTTTTGTTTCCGGCTAATACTCCACGCGGTTGAAATGAATGTCGAACAAAAGGACTAAACACTCCAGATCTCCGATCTTCTCAGACAGATCAAAATCTCCGAGGGACAAAAGGCAAGCGACAGAAAAACAACACAGAAACGCTCTGCTGCTGAAGCCTGCGTCAAAAAATTAATCTGGGGCGAGGCCAAACCGGAAGCAAACATCGCAAACACCGCAAAACCACCGCGGCCCGAGAGGTTTCACTGCCGGTTGTGATTGGCTGGTTAGCGAACCAAACGCGTATATAAAGACGCGGCGGGCCTCAAATTTTCATTCCAATTTTCTGTTTCTCTTCTATCTGTTGTACGCCTCGTTTGCTCAACAAGATATGGGTTCATTGGCAGTTGGCTTCGAATGCTTGTTTCGAAGATCCAGCGTGCTCTACAACCTGCGAACAGCTCAGCTATGAGAATAATGTCTTGCTCTGGCTAAGCAAATTTCGCATTGACTTCGTCCTTTGCAGATATCCCTAGCATCTTTGCCCTTGCATATGTCACCATTCCTATGTGTTCACTTCAATGATGAAGCAAGATTCACACAGACCTGTTCCGAGTTATTATACATGCGGATCAACAATCGTACCAACTGCTGTCTGACAAAGTGAACACTACCCCTACCCTTGCCCGTTTCTTGCCTCCGTTCCTCCATATTAGAAGAATGAAAATCGCTCACTTGGCTCACTTGAGATCAATCTTTTCTCGGCCCTCAGTAGAGACTCAAAGTATGAAGTAGGGTTAGCTAGAGGGCTCCCTGTACTGTACACAAGACCCTGCTACTCCTGCCACTACACATCAACGATACGGGAATCGAATTGCACGACGGCTAGTGTCAAGCATGATCGTACCCCGTATCGGTCACCGCATCGTCATCCTCTCTCTCGTACAGGATCTGAGGACGAACGTTCTGACGGAGGATGTATCTCCTGATGAAGTAGGGGATCTGACGTAGCCCATACTTGGCGTGGAAGCGTGTGGGAACCCCAAACACTTGATCCAATTCTTCGAGCGTCTTTCCTTTGGTTTCGGGCATGAACAGAAGTATCAGAAACCATCCGACTATACACCAACCGCCGTACCAGCTGAACGCTCCCTGCGGCGTGAATGCATGTCGAAGGGAAGGCCAAGTAATGGCGAGCGTGAAGTTGAACAACCATGTCGTCGAGGTGGCTAAAGCCATGCCGTAGGACCGCACGTAAAGTGGATAGGCCTCGGCCGAGTATGTGAACGGCACTGGTCCCTCGCCAAACGAATATACAACACCGAAGAGGTAAGTGCCTAAAGCGACACACCCCATGCGGGCAGAAGTGTCTTCGGGTATCCAGAAGCTGAAGCCGGTGAAGAACATCGACAGAGCCATCATGGGAAAGGTGGTTAGGAGAAGATTGCGACGGCCAAACGTGTCGATTTTCCAAATGGCGGGTAGGGCAAAGAGAAAATTGATCATTCCCCACCCGAAGGATGCTGCCAGTGCTTTGCGCTGATTTGCGACTGTCAGCATGTTTGCCGGCCCTGTGGACTGCAGGAAAATCTCAGATGAATAGTATGCGATAACATTCACGCCTAAAAGTTCATCAGTCTTCTGATTTCCAGCTGGGATCGGTCGCACAAACCGCAGAACTATGAGACATTAGCAGCTGAATCTTCATAGTGACTATTTTGGTTGAACGTACCTGTTGCATGAACATCACCAGTTCTGACGCAATCATTGCACGTCGGTTACGAGGAACACGGATGAGCTCCAGGATTTTGTTCTGGCCAAGCTTTATGCCGGCCTCGGCTTTCAGCAGTGTATGCATATAGTACAAGTCACGCGCTGCTTGGACCTTGTTGTAACGCAAGCTACACATCGACTCATACGCTTTATCGTACCGATTCCGCGACAAGTACCAACGGGGGGATTCTGGACAAGTGAAGACAAAGCAGCAAACCAGGAGAGCCGGAACCATGGCTGAAGCCATCATCAAACGCCAATTGAGGCCGACGATCCCCGAATGATCACGGATCTGGAAGAACGAAAGGTCTGCGACGTAGCCGATCATGATCCCGAATGCTGTCCACATCTGCCATTGCATTACCAAAGCACCACGAATATTAGGAGGTGCCGTCTCCGCGGCGTAGATCGGCACCGTTGCCGACTTGGGGCCTATCCCGAAGCCCAACGCAAAGCGAGCGATGAACATATGCCACCATGTGTTGACGAACCCTTGCCAGAGGCAAGTAAGCGCAGAGAAGCAGCAGGTGATGAAGATGGTCCCTCGACGGCCGAACCATGCATTAAATGGCACTGTCAGCCAGCAGCCGATGATGGCACAACACAGATATGGCGCTGAGTTGACCAGTCCAAGCAGCCAATTGGAGCGGGAGTCAGTGCCATCGATGCCGAATTGATGCTTGTAGAAGATCTGGGCGCCATTGACCACCGTCTCATCTGCAGGAGTCAAGGAGTTTCAGCCAACTTTCACTTGGAACCCTTGAACGAACAATGGAAATAGAACTTACCCATTCCTTGTACCGCAGCAGAGAGTGAACACAGAGCAATAACCCGGTACATTCTCCGTGGCTGACGCCAACGATTGGTGAATTCTTGCTTCAAGACTTCCAGCTCCTGGGGCGTCAGACCAGGAACCTCCGCGTACTTTTCCGGCCTTTGAGCTAGAATGGCGCCCATGGCGAAAACACGAATGTCTTCTTCTCCCCCAAGATGATGCTCAATGGCGAAATTGATTCCTCGCCTGCGCAGCTCTTCTTGAGTTTGACCAGCAAGAGGATTGGCCAGCTTTGCATTGATGTTACGCCGAGCACGCTCCGCAACGGTGCCGAGCGAGCGTTGGAGAGCAGTGTTGCCATCAGTCTCCTGACGGTTGAGAGCAGATGCCCCAACGACAGGAGGCTCTTCTTTGCCGAAATAACCCTTCATCTGCGCGTGTTGGAGTCTCGTTTGCGCTGGTGGTGGTGCTTTGACGAGGAGCTAATGAAGGAATGCGAGACGACTAGGAAGAGGTTTATGTTAGTAGGACTGTCAACACATCAAGTCTATGGCTGGAAGTGAATGACGATCGATCCTTGGTATTTGCACTCCTACTGGACCAGACTGTCTATTCCACACCATGTATCCGACAACAAAGAGAAGTAGCCTTCATAAAGAAGTTGAAGTCGAGACATATGGATGGGAGATCATCTGGCTGAGAGACGAACCGGTTTTGGCAAAAGGAGGTCTGTACATACAAAGAATCCTCTCTTACCCCCTGGACCATTACCAAAGATTCGGATGGAAATGAGGAATGGAGCGAACAGGTGAAGAGAGACTCGACTCACTCGGCCTGGTTGACCAGCAGAAGAACCGCACGACTGATCTTACTCGTCGACATCCCGCGGTGATTGCGACAGCCCGTCGAACAAGGCTGAGCCCGGGCGTTCAGTGCAGCTGATCGTGTTTCTCTTCTGCTGTCTCACTGAGTGCTCCCAAGTATCGAAGTTGAAGTGGTCGCTGGGGTGATTGACGGGATGCGGACAAAGAGGCAGTGAGGTGGAGGTGAGGCTCGTATCCTACCTAATGACCATCAAACAATATTCTCGCTCAGGAACCTAAGACCTAGTCTTCGTGGTTGGACCAGATGAATATCAGATGGTCTGTATCTCAGCATATGCCGATGAATGAAAGTTGGCCCGACATTCTTCAACTGCAGTCTCTGCAGTCTTCTCGAAGTGTCTGAAGCGCGTACAACGTTGCACGATCCTACAGTACATCTTCAACCATTTGGTGAATTGCATATGAATACAATGGTCCGGGTCCCTTGTTCCGGAGTCAGCCGACAGTTGATACGAGAGTCCATGATAATGATTGACAATGCGCTGATCTGCATGTCTGTTTGACAACGTGTCTCTTGGAGGGGGGGAGGAAGGCGAATGGGGAGACCCCGGATTTCCGTCGCTTATGCCTGCCTGGCTTATGGCTCATGGCTAATGTTTGGAGTCCATTGTTTGCGCGATGCGGGGTTGCCCGCGGTTGCCCGCAGTTGCCCGCCCCGTCGGATGCGGATTGACAGGAGTGGAGTGCTGACTAGACTACATAGTGTAATAGGTATACAAGCATCCCCAATGACAACATCATCCTGATCCGATATATCCGAACAATCGGAAAGGTTCCTGCATGATGCTCAACTCTTTTACTGGCCTTCCATCTGAATTCTCAAGGGGAATCCCCCAAGAATCAAGGTAGACGTGGGGAATGGACTGCGTTCTTGAAGCCTATTCGATGTTATGCTGAGTCGGCAAGGGGGCAATGAGGGGAAGGAACCTAGCCGCTTCCGACCCGCCTCCATCATGAAGTCAAGAGACTCTTCCAAGTTCTACTTTCCCTGCCGCATCGCCGCAACTATAACTATAACCATAATCTGTTGAACCCAAACATGCTCTTCTGCCTGATCTGTTTTCTCAAACAAGACTTCTATCACACTTCTATCGATTGAAACGCTGAACAAAACACCAACCATGCTCGGAAAAATAGCCCTCGAGGAAGCCTTTGCGCTCCCACGCTTCGAAGAGAAGACCCGCTGGTGGGCCAGTCTATTCTCCACCGACCCCGAAACCCATGTCAAGGAGATCACCGACATCAACAAGATCCGCATTGAGCATGCGGACAAGCACGGCGTGGGATACCAGATCCTCTCTTACACGGCTCCAGGTGTCCAAGACATTTGGGACGCCGCCGAGGCGCAAGCTCTCGCCGTTGAAATCAACGACTACATCGCCGAGCAGATCCGTGACCGCCCTGATAGATTCGGTGCATTCGCGTAAGAACCTCCCTCCCTCACTACCTCGGATCATCATCCAAGCTGGCCTAACGCATCACTCAGAACCCTCTCCATGCATGACCCCCAAGAAGCCGCCACCGAGCTCCGCCGCTGCGTCGAGAAGTACGGCTTCAAGGGTGCCCTGGTGAATGACACCCAACGCGCCGGTCCGGATGGCGACGATATGATCTTCTACGACCAGCCCAGCTGGGACATCTTCTGGCAGACATGCACGGAGCTCGACGTGCCTCTGTACCTGCACCCGCGCAACCCCACGGGGACCATCTACGAGAAACTCTGGGCAGACCGCAAGTGGCTCGTGGGGCCCCCGCTCAGCTTTGCGCACGGCGTCAGTCTTCACGTTCTGGGGATGGTCACCAACGGGGTCTTCGACCGGCACCCGGCACTGCAGATCATCATGGGGCATCTGGGCGAGCACGTTCCCTTCGACATGTGGCGCATCAACCACTGGTTTGAGGACCGGAAGAAGCTGCTGGGCTTGGCGGAGACGTGCAAGAAGACCATCCGCGAGTACTTTGCGCAGAACATCTGGATCACCACCTCGGGCCACTTCTCGACCACGACGTTGAACTTCTGTATGGCGGAGGTGGGTTCGGATCGCATCCTGTTTTCGATCGATTATCCGTTCGAGACGTTCGAGGATGCGTGCGTGTGGTTTGATAATGCAGAGTTGAATCTGGTGGACCGGGCAAAGATCGGACGGGAGAATGCGAAGAAGCTGTTCAAGCTGGGGGCTTATAAGGATTCGTCGGCGTGATGTAGCAATGTATTCAGTTAAGACCAACTTCTTTCCTGCTCTAACCTTAGTTGAACGTAGGTCACGGTCATTCGTGTTCTTTGCCTTCGCGGGCAGACTATCCTACTGTTGGCTGCACTACACTGCGTGCCTTTCTGGTGTCTTTCTAGCAGCTTGATCTTTTTGCTTCATGATTATGGTATCCCTGAAATTGATGACCTTCCAGAAGATATAGTCGCAACCTTTTTCCCCATTTCAGACAAAGGTTGCTTCTTTACAGCCTTTGTAGGCTTGGGCTTTTGTTCATGAATAGGTCAACCATTCCATGTTCTCCGTGAGAACTTGCGAATGGGAATAGTCAGACTGGTGAATGGCTTGCACCCTTCAAGGTCGAACTGGTCGATGGGGCGATAGCGTGTGTTTCAGCATTGTGTATACAAACACCCCTTGTGTGTTGATATTGCTGTTTGTGCCAGACCCAGTCTTCATTTCTACTGTGAATGCCTGCGACTCTTCCACCTCTCTTCTTCAACCTGAATATTGCACTTCCTTCACCTGAAGAAAAGAGAACTGAACCGATTTGTCCTCCCTATATCTCTTCCCTCCCAGTCCTCTTCCTCACCCACACTACCATCATCGGTCTCAGCAGAGCGAGTCCAATTCCAACCTCAACTTGACCAACCGCCACCTCGAACCAGAAAGATGGACCTCAACGCCCCAGCCCAGCTTTCTCACAGCCTCCCTCCCTTCTCCCCCATGCTCCCAAGCATCCAGCAGGACGAACAATCCACCACCACCGAGCCATTCCCCGAATACTTCGCCTCCTGCGAACAAGCCGACTCGCGAGCTGACACAGCCCAGGAGGAAGCCTACAAGTACGCCCTGTCGAAAGTGGTCGAGGCCGGCGCGCAGGCCAAGAGATTCGACGCGATGCTCATGTCCACGATGCTGTTCACCCCGGAATGGACATTGCCTGACCCGACCACAGCCTTCAGCAATACACCTCCAATCAGCAACACCAGCAGCAGCAACAACAACAGACTCACCCCACCCTCCACCCCGACCAACCCATTACGCCCCGAAGCACAAACCACCCCAAAGCTAGCAAGCTACCCAACCTGGGCCCTGCACCCGGACCTCGAAGCCACCTCCGAGAACAAGAAAAACATCCTCGAAGAGCTGCGCATCCTAACCAACAGCCCGAACCTCAGCCTCGCGCTGCGCACCCGCTTCATCACGATCTGCAACACCATCCTGAGCGTGCACACGCTGCTCTTCCGGCGCGTGCCCATCCCCGGCCGCGACCACCCGCTGGACTCGTTGACGCAGCCCCAACTCCACCGCGCGCACCACCTCGCCAACACGCTGGTCACCGACCTCGCCGCCCTCCACCACCTATTGTATGGCCAGTACGAGCACTGCCGCAGCGCCCAGCAGACAATCGCACATATCGCCGGCGACACGGCCAACAAGAACCTGTTCACGCGCTTCAAGGAGATGGCGAGTATTCTGATCAAGTACGTGCCCTTACACCCATCTCAACCAAAACACCCCCCTTACCACCCCAGCCGAAGGCTAACGACAGGAAAAAAGCACCCTCCCCACCCCGCACCCAACCGAACAACGCCTCCTCCTCATCACCCTCGACCTGTACGACGCTTACCTCTACACGGACTACCACCGGCTCCGCCAGTGGCCGCAGATGCTGGCCGAAGGCCGCGACCCGCTGCGCCTGCGCCTGACCAACGCCTTCTTCCGGGCGTGGGATCTGCTGACGCGCGCCCTCGAGTGCTACCAGGCCATCGCGGCGATCCACGCCCGCATCACGGCCCAGTACCTGCGGCCCGCCGGCGCGCTGCTCGGCCGCGAGGTTGGGGGCCGCGTGCTCTTCGATCTAAGGGTGCGGGCCGCCGTGGCACGGTGTCGCGAGCGGATGGTGCGGAATGATCGGGTCTATCAGCGGGAGTTGTGGGAGGTGTATCGGCGGGAGGTGGGGGAAGGGGAACAGGATTCCGGTAGGAAGGTCTCCACGGAGAGTGGGTGGGAACAGGGGAAAGATGATTGTTTGGATCGCGGGCGTGGGTGTGTTTTGCAGGATTTCTTTCGGTGGGATGAGATGGGAGGGGGGGAGGGGGGTTGTAGTCCTTAGTCTGTCTGGAGGGAGATGTGATCTGGTAAGGGGAGTAGAGTTGTGCTCAATCGGTTTGAGGTGATGCGTTGAGGGTTGGAGATCTTCAGAGGTGGTCCCAGGGCTTGGCTTCTTTCAGCTTGAGGTGTTGAGGGAAAGAGGATACTTTGTGATTTATTGCGACATGTGGTTTATGCTCGAGCAAGGTGAAGCGATACATCGAAAGAATGATAATTTCCATCTCGGTGATCAATCCTCTGAGTTGCCTGTTAATCTCAAGCCGTGGCCGGATTTCCTGGTGCTATGTTGCAATGTTAGACTGAAGTACAGCGACATGGTTCGATGAACGCGTGGAGTAGCACATGCTGGCATTTCGTTTGGTAGCGTGCTCCATGAGTAGACCCAGACATACGGGCCCTGTAGCTGTCATATAGCAGGGATTAACCCTAAAGGGCAGCCTATGGGACGGACCTCGGAATTATACTACTAGGTAGTAAACTGACTGCCATGCCGGAATAGCGACGACCAAAGGCTACAAATGGAAAAGTCATACAAGCTCCATAAAACATCCACAGGATAAAAGTATATTAGATGGATAAGTTATTAACCAATACGAAGCATGTACAGCACCCCGATCGAAAACGCCGTTGAGAACCGTAGCGCCTATTTGGATCGAGAGAAAGTGCAGGTTGACCCTCCCTCCGGGCAAGTCTGACATAAGCGAGTGATATGGGAAGGCAGTAGAACAAAACGTTCCGGCGTCAGCCCAAGTCCACTCATCAAGACGAGCCTCGGAAGTTAACGAGGGGCGGTGGCATTCTGCGCACATCGACTAATTGACACCTCATAGAAGAAAAGGAGAGTGGCAACTTAAGTAGTGCGGGGAGGATGAACCCGGAAATCACGAAATGTCAGGGTTTGGTTTACGATGGCTTGTGAAAGGATCATGACGAATGGTGCGAGGCCAGGCTCGGCGCTATTCGTCCTTCTTACTTGGATCCGTAGCCAGAGGCTCGGCTTCATCCTCGTCGTCCGGTAAAGGGACATCCATCACACGCGCGCCAGCTGTCTCCAAGGTTCTGCGACTCCAGGCCCGCACGCCTTTATAGACAGCCTAAAACGAGTCAGTCGCTGAGGTCAGTAGACACAGCTCGGAGAAATGTCACTCACCCACAAGAAGGTACCCACACCGATGACAACGAGCAGCCAGCCGACTCGGGTTCTCCCGGTATTTCCGGTGTTTCGGCCGGAGCTGTTGCCGCTGATAATGCGCGTGGAGCGCACCATCAGCCCAGGCCAGGAAGAGAACGCAAGAACGGACTTGATGCACGACAACAGGCCCAGCGTGACCACTCCCTTGAGATAGTGCTGTGGCCAGGAGGCCTCGTGGTCACGCACCGGAATCCTGGTCTCCAGCTGCACGGGCCAGATGCCCCTTAATTCGGTGGGTGCGAGGGGATCATCAGGGTGCGGGATGATGTTGAAGAGAGGGTCAGCAACGAAACCAAGTAAGAATACAGTAAACAGCAGAATGGCGAGAGTCAACGCGAGCTGCATCATGGTGCTACTAATCCAGCGCGCCAAGCGGAGACGTTCTAGTCGGTACTGAAACCCACAAGTCGGGCAGTGCCAAAAATTGCGCCGGCTGTAGCCTGCGTCCGAATGGCGCCACTGTTGCAAGCATCCTTCGTGCACATAACGGGAGGATCCTTTGCATTTGCAGGGACGGAGCAATCGACCGGACTCTGGGTCCGACGATTCGTAGACAGGCCGCTGTTGGGGCTGCAGAAACCCCGGGATATGTTCCGAGGGAGGAGGAAAGGTGGGATAGACCGTTTCCAGGCAGATACGACACGTCCGAGGCGAGTAGTGCCGCTTTCTAGTCTCTTCTGTGGTACTGCCCGAATCCTCCTGTGGAGGGGTGTCTGTAGGGTCCTGCTCGGTGTGATCCGACTGAGACGGCGCAGCCGGTTCAGAAGGCCACTGCCAGAGCGGCTCATTGCGCGAATCCATTGCTTCTCCTAGTTTGTCGATTGTTGTCGCATAGTCTAAGAATCAGCAGATCTACCAGCGATCTGACGCTTGTGATGCGATCGGTGCCGCAGTTATGATTGTTGCATTAAGAAAGGTTGAGAAGAAACAAAGAGGAGGATTGTTTTGGGGGGGGGAAGGAAAAAAAGAAGCCAGTTTAAGAGAAGCGGGTGGAGAAGGTCAAGCGCGTAAAAAGCGCACTAGCCGCTCGCCTAGCGTCACCGCCCGAGGCGCGGCTTGGCTGGTGGTGGTTGCTTTGCTACTGCTGCGTCAACACCTGCCGCCTGCTGTCCGAAGGGAAGCTTCACATCAATCCAATCCCCTCCTCCACCACCTCCCATTTTCCATCCCCATCATCCCCAATCACTTCCATCTATCTCCCCCCACACATACCTAGTATTCTCCAGAGCTTCTGGAGGTGAAATATCGTCTCCATGGCTGATCGTTACTCTTTCTCTTTGACCACTTTCTCCCCCAGGTAAGCCAAGCTCTCCGCTAGTACTCGAGTACATCAGCTAACAGTCGGGGTGTAGTGGAAAGCTGGTCCAAATCGGTAACAACCTTCAACCAGCTACTGCTTTGCCGGGTCACTGACAATGCCTAGAATATGCTCTGAATGCCGTCAACCAGGGTGTAACGGCCCTTGGTATCAAAGGTATCGTGGCCCTCGATCCTCCGCAGCTACAGCTACAGCTACAGCTACTGACTCCCTGCCTCACCGGACACAGCTACCAACGGAATCGTCCTCGCCACTGAGAAGAAGTCCTCGTCGCCTCTGATCGACCCCCCCTCTCTCTCCAAGATTTCCCTGATCACGCCCGACATCGGCATGGTCTACGCCGGCATGGGCCCAGACTACCGGGTGCTGGTCGACAAGGCCCGCAAGGTCTCGCACACGGGCTACAAGCGCATCTACAACGAATACCCTCCCACCCGTATATTAGTGCAGGACGTCGCTCGGGTCGTACAAGAGGCGACGCAGTCCGGGGGTGTCCGACCGTACGGTGTCAGCCTGCTGATTGCGGGCTGGGACGAGGGCATCGAGCCCGAGACCGGCGATGCCCAGCGCGGCGACGAGGAGAAGGAGGGCGAGCCCAAGAGGGCGACCGGCAAGACGGGCGGCATCCTGAAGGGCGGCCCCAGCCTGTACCAGGTCGACCCCAGCGGCAGCTACTACCCGTGGAAGGCCACGGCCATCGGCAAGCACGCCACCAGCGCCAAGACCTTCCTCGAGAAGCGCTACACCGAGGGCCTGGAGCTCGAGGATGCCATTCACATTGCCCTCCTGACTCTGAAGGAGACCATTGAGGGCGAGATGAATGGGGACACGATAGAGATTGGTAGGTTTTCTGCGTCTGTGGGATAAAGTTTCAAGCTGACGTTTTCTGAACAGGTATTGTTGGACCTCCTGCCGATCACTTGCTGGGCTTTGAGGGCGTCGAGGGCGCGCGGGGACCCCGTTTCAGGAAGTTGACCAAAGAGGAGATCGAGGACTATCTGACCAACCTATAAACCCTTCTCCGTCTTGTTACACTTTATCTTGGCGGGACCTTATAGCATAATAGACATCTATCAAGTCTGGCAAGGTTTCAACAAGATGATGCTTCTAAAGAACAATGAACAAGGGTGACAGCCGGAAGACCCTGGGACAACCAACGGAAGTGATGAAATGTATGGGGCGGGTCGACATCGCCAAGTAATGCCGCAATCTGAAAAGGAATCCCTAGTACTATACTAAGTCAATGAATGTGATTTGTGCTAAAGCTGGTTGTGTCTAAAGTAGGGAGCTGAACCCTGCACCGTCCGCCACTCTGGGGGATCTCGGCAAGATATGCTACCCTACCATCGACCCCAGGACGACTGGAAGAGCTCTTCCCCCTTGAGGTAAATGCTAGCCACGACTCAGGAATAGATACTCGAAATCTCCGCCCCACGGGTCACTGCAGCAGAAGCAGAAACCCCAACCACGGCCATCACTTGACATACACGCCAGCAGTCTTCGGTGTTGTTGTCAAGGATGATAACCTTACGGTAGTTGGTAAGGTATCTATAAATCCCGGGGAGAAGGGAGACATCACTCGCCCATTGAGCACTCTCTCAACATCTCTGTAATCCCATACCTATTCCAGGAGTCAAGTTAATGCTAGGTCCCTGGCATTGAAGCAGGAACAAGCCGACAGGGCAGGGCAGGGCAAGGTTGCTTACCACCAGGCCCCAAAAAAGGCCCGAGATCTATGTTCTAGTGTTCTGCCGTCCCCACCCCCCGGGAAAAGCTGAGGGTCCGTCCACGGTCCGGAGGGATGCCCGAGAAAGGGAAGGAGTTGTACTACCCCAACAGCGTGGAGTGTGCTGTACTGGACCTTTCGGAGTGTTGGCCCATTTCTGTTTTGGGTTATTGCTGCTGCTGCTGCTGCTGCTGCGGTGGCTGAATGGGAAGTCCGAGATTCTGTTGTGGAAGGGTATGTTTAGATACCTAGGGGAAAGATGGGATGGGATCTTTAGCTGAGAAGCTCCAAGCGCCAGCTTGAGCTCCAGCGCCAGCGCCAGCTATAGCCTAGTGCAGTAATTCCCCCCTCCCTGTCCTGCCCTGTCTTCGCCCCTGCTTTTTGTTGACTGCTTATGAGGGCCGGAGAGTAACGAAGAAAAGCGGTCTACTTGACGCCACATCCACGAGGTTGGGAAGTGTAAAGGCTCCCAGATTCCCATGGCTAAGGATTAGAGTTGGGGATATGACGACTCTTGACTCAACCGGTCTTTCTGTGCATTGTCTCGGTTTGAAGTTGAATCTTTTGTTGTGTTGAAGAATACTCCCAAGTATTGAATTTTGTGTTGGAGTTGTGGGGGATCGAACCCACATGTGTTTTGGGCTTTGGGAGATAAAGAAGATTTAAGGTATGGCTCGTGCACTGCCCTCCCACCCACCTAACCCATCTTATCTCCCGTGTGTTGTGTTTCTGGTGCAGTCGAACGAGAAACGTGAAAGCATGATGATGATGATGATGCTGATGCTCTCACCCCAGCCGCAGAATCCAGCCCTAGGATGCGCGACTGGAGCATGGAAGAGCCGATGGATGGGATCGCGGGCGAGCTCTCGACGCAGCACGGGGGCCTGCGGTCGACGCTGCTCTTCTTCATGGCGGTGGCGTGGTACAACGTGATCGAGCTGGTGGTGCTGGTGCTGACGACCTTCCGGCGGTGGCGGGGGCTGTACTTCTGGAGCCTGCTGCTGTCGGGGGTGCTGGGGGTGGCGCCGTACACGGTGGGGTTCCTGCTGAAGTTCTTCACGCAGACGCCGGCGCTGGCCACCGTGACCGTGCTGACGGTCGGCTGGTGGACGATGGTGACGGGCCAGTCGTTGGTGCTGTACTCGCGGCTGCACCTCGTGCTGCGCGACGAGCGCGTCCTCCACCGCGTGCTGCGCATGATCCTCGCCAATGTTTTGGTCTTGCACGTCCCGACCACCGTGCTCACCTACGGCGCCAACCTCCTCCAGACCCCCGCCTGGCTGCGCGGCTATAACATCATCGAGAAGCTGCAGCTCACCGGCTTCACCGTGCAGGAGGTCGTCATCTCCCTGCTGTATATCTGGGAGACCGTCAAGCTGCTGCGCATGTGTGCGGCCCGCGAGAACCGCAAGATCATGCGCCAGCTCGTCGGGATTAATGTCGCGATGCTGGTGATGGATTTGGTGCTGTTGAGTCTCGAGTATGCGAATTATTATGCCGTGCAGATTAGTTTGAAGGGCGCGGTGTATAGTATCAAGCTGAAGTTGGAGTTTGCCGTGTTGGGCCGGTTGGTTGCTGTCGTGCATAACCGGTGTCCGCCGGCGCCGATTGATGGGGATTTGCGGCTTAGTCGGTATGCTGGTGGGGGGCAGCAGCGGGAGGACGCGGATGATGGGCATAATGGGTCCGGGGGCGCGATGGTGGCGGCCGCGGCGGCGGCGACGGCGGCCAGGAGTGTCGCCGTGCAGCGGGCCCCGTTGTGCGTGACTGGGGAGAGAACAAATCGTCATCTCGCGCTGAATGAGGTGAATGTCTCGATGAAGTGGAAGGATCGGACCGACTTGGAGAAGGGCGACTGCAATTCAGAGGTCCACCGCGCTTGTTGGAGGTGAGGTGAGGTGATGACTTGATATGATATGACGGTTATGAATTCATGTCTGCATGTGTCTATGTGTATGTATCTAATTCTCAGGTTCTAACTCCGCACTTGATGTCAGGATAGTGAACAATTAATACGGGTCAGTCCAGTCACAGCCAGGAAGGTCTTTAGAGAGAGCCCTGTACAAGGGGATGAGGAGATCAATTCCCATCCAACGACCCAGCATCCACCTCTTCGCCGTCAATCCATCCAAATTCTCCCTCGGAGTCCTCTTCATCCTGGCTGTCGGCGATCTCTTCCGCTTTGCGCTTCCGTTGACTGGCCGAGGCTTCAGGTTCTTGGGTGGAGCTTGCTTCCACGACGATCTGCTCTGGTCGTTCAGCTTGTGGAGGCGAAGGAGTATCCAAAGCGTACAGCCCATCCTAACAGCAAACCAGTTAGCCTTGCTTTCACCCCAATACACTCCCCAAAACAGAACAGAAGACAGGGAAAACGAACCTCCCTCACCCCAAACCCAACCACAGTATCCCCCACCACCCTCCCGCGAACCACCCTCCCTCCCCTCTTCATCACCTCCACCACCCTCCCCTTCCTCCATCCTCCTTCTCCCTCCCCCTCTGACTCAACGAAGTCCTGATAAACCACCGCCCGTGTAAACACACAGCTCTCCCAGGCCGCCGACCCCGCCACCACGGGACACAGCGTCGCCCGTACCTGGCCCCGAATCCGGGTGTGGGTCTGGTTCGTCACCAGCACAGCCATGTTCCCTCCTCCGCCTCGGCCGGCTGTACTAGCCAGCTTGGCCAGCTGCGTCGCCAGATCGCTCAGCACGTTCCATTTGCGGTTGACCAGCCACTGAATGTGGGCTTTGTCATGCACCTGCGAGGAGGCGCCGAGGGCGGCGCGTTGGTCGCTCGGGTTGGGGAAGTAGGGGGGGAAGGGGGCGGAGATAGAGTCGACGACCAAAAGGGTGGTGGACGGTGGGGGAAAGTTGGGGGGTGGGTGGTGGATGAGGGAGAGGAGATGCGGGAGGGTTGGGGTGTGGATGTGAATGAGGTTTTTGGCTTGGATGCTAGGGTCAGATTGGTTTGGTTGTTGCTGTGCAGCAAGAAGGCGGTTGAGTTGGCGGGCGGGGAGTGGGGGGCCCGTGTCTGATATCGAGGTTTAGTTTGGGGTGCGGTAGGGGTATAGGTGGTGATATAGGTAGGGAGAGGGATGTACCTATCCAGACGACTGTTTCGCCCTTGGCTAGGGCTGTTGCTGCGGTGTTTAGGCTGCGGTGGTGTGTTGGTTACTGAGGGGGTAGATGTTGGCAGGTGGAAGGGAAGACGAACGCTATGGCGGTCTTGCCTGCTCCCGGAGGCCCGAAAATCTCCGTGACATGACCACACGGTAGGCCCTTGCTCTGCAGATCCCCGAAGCCTTGGAGATCATCTTCGATGGGCGGGGTGACTGCTTCGTCGAGCTGGGGGAGACCCGTTGAGACGGTCTTGTTGCCTAAGGCAGCCGACGCGGTGGACGCGTGAAGGGACTGCGAGGCCGGGAAGGAGATGACTCGATCTTGGGGCGTCAGCTGCATGTTATCTGTGATCAGATATTGAGTTATGATTTATACTCACTGGGATCCTGACTGGGAAGGCCCAGAAAGTCGAGTCTATTCATGATGAATGGATAGATGAGATGGATTGATGGAGTTAAGGGTCACGCGTCGCGCGCGCGTCTCGGCTTGTTCCCATCCAGCGGGATATGAGGATCTTTTGATTATGTACTGGAGTGAGGATGTGATGCTGTCATGGTTAGGCTATCACTTGAGCATCGTAACGAGGTTCTGGACAGTTGCCTTGACAGTTGACAGTGCTCCGAAGACCTGCCGTAGTCCACATTCAGTCGGCATTGATGTTCTGGAAGCTCGGGAACGAGCCGAGATCCGATCTCGCCCCGATCTGATAAAAAAGATAAAAATCGGCCCCGCGGAGGACCTGCACCTTTTAATCACCTCATTAACTCGACTATAATTACAGCACTGCTCGATTCTCTTTCAGTTCGGGCTGCGTCAACGCTAGATCCAAATCTCTAACTAAACCGAGTCCACTCTCCTCACAATCCACCCAGAGCACTCATAACCACCACCATCAATGCATGACTCAAAGCTCACCACCCTCAATGCATTAGACGATGGCGCACCCTCACTCCAACCCCTCCTCCCCTACATCATCTCCATCATTCTCCTGATCTTCCCACTAATAACCTACCTCCGCTCATCCCCCCCAAACCCCCGAGGCTGTCGCCGCCTCGGCACCAGAAAAAGCAACATCGCCGATGAATTCGACCCCCAATACAGCGAGGGCTCCCCCAGCGACGCCATCGACCCCAAGACCGGTCTCCCGGCATGGCGCATTAAAGCCCTATTCGTTTACCCGATCAAAAGCTGCACGGGGATCGAGCTAGACACCGCAGAGGTGATTGACACCGGCCTGAAATACGACCGACTCTTCTGCTTTGCCGAGTACATCGAGGCGAAGCCAACCCCTACCCCTGCTCCCGCCACCTCATCGAACGAAGCTGCTGCGCAAGAAGCAACCGGGCACTGGACCGCGCGCACCCTGCGCGACCGCCACTTCTGCAACCTCGCCCTCGTGCGGCCGGAGCTCTGGGTCCCGGATCCCACCAGCCCAGACTACTCCCCCTCACTCCCAGAAGTGCAATCCGAGGGCGTGCTGATCATCCACTACCCGCGCACGCTGCCCACCAGCCTAGCCAGCCTGCCCCTCCTCCCAGCTCTGTTCAAGCTAGCCCTCACGCTGCGCCTGTGTCCCCGCGAGCAGTCCTTCCGCGTTCCGCTTACCCCCGCCTCCAACCCCAGCCCTAAGACTGCAGGGGAAAGCTACCCCCTCCACCCCCTCAAGATCTGGAAAGACACGCCCCTCGCCCACGACTACGGCGAGCACCTCCCACCCTCCCTCCGCCGCTTCCTGGCGGACCCCAACACCACAACACAAAAACCCCTCACCCTCTTCCGCGAATCCGCCGCCCACCACCGCCAGATCTTCCGGAACGCGCCCCCCAAGGCGCAGCTGGGCTTCCAGACCGTCACCGGCTTCCAGGACGCGTACCCGCTCCATCTCCTCAACCTGGCCAGCGTCCGCGATGTGGCTGCGCGGTGTCAGACAGACATCCCCCGGTTGACGGTGCGCCGGTTCCGCGCGAATGTGGTCGTGCAGGGGCCGGGGCGGTTTGAGGAGGATGCGTGGCGGAGGGTGAGGGTCGGTGGTTCGGGCGGGAGGTTTGACCCTAAGGGAGGGGATGGGGGGGAGGAGCGAGGGGTGGAGATTCATCTGGCGTGTCGGACGATGCGGTGTCGGTTGCCGAATGTCGATCCGGACACCGGGGTGCGCCATCGCGCGGAGCCGGATCGCACGCTGAAGGCGTATCGGCGGATCGATCGGGGGGATCCCACGAATGCGTGTCTGGGGATGCAGTTGGTTCCTGCGGTTCGGAGTGAGTTTTTTTTTTTTCCCCTTCTTTTGTTGATGATCCGGGATGATGGTGGTGTGGGGGGTGTGAGGATGGTTGGGTGATGCTATAAGACTGGGAATTGTTGGGACTGTGCAGGCTAACTGGCTGTCTAGACTTCACGCTTCGCGTCAATGATCCGATCACGGTCCTTGAGACGGGCGAGCATTGCTATATCAAGATGTTGGCGCCTGGTGAGGTGGTCGAAGGAGTCTGATGAACTCCCTCTGGTCTGATGGACTACCGGTGCAACATTACAGTGGCGAAGGCTATAGTTATAGAATATGTATAATCATTGCATTAATCAATCCCAAATAATCCAAACTATCGCTCTCAAGGGTATCCCAATCCATCAATCTGCCCTCGCAAGGGTCATAGTCAAACCAAAGAAACAAAGAATTATCTTAAAGTTATACAGCTGACACTCCAGAGGGATGCTCCCCCTTCGTGTATTGAGCATTTTCAGGCTCGTCCGGCTCTTCAACCGCCCGAGGCTCTGCTCGAGCCTCGACAACAGCCGCCCCCTCATCCGCCTCTTCGGGAATGATCAGGTTCAAAATCACCCCTAGAATGGCGGTGACGGCGAACCCGTTGTTCATCACCAAGTCAACCGCATCCAGTAGACCCGTCAGGCCGCGGTTGTTACCGCTGTAGGTGAAGAAGTAGGAGAACCAGGTAGGCACCAAGGTGACACCCATGCCGATGGAGAAGGAGGCCGTCAGGACAAAGCGGTTGCGCCGCGTGAACGGCACAGTCGCAATGATGCGGACCCCAGAAATGGCCACGGAGGAGAAGAGGAACGTGGTCATCCCACCCAGCACCGCGCTCGGGATGGAGGTGAGGGCGGCGGCAAACTTGGCGAAAATGCCCATGATGACCAAGAAGAAACAGCAGCAGTAGCCAGCCTTGCGGTTGGCGCACTTGGTCAAGGCAATGACACCATTGTTCTGAGCAAACACAGACATGGGGGTGATCGTGCACAGTCCGGCCAGCAGACAGGTGAATCCGTTACCCAGAACACCACCCTGGACGCGAGAGTCAAACTCCGGACCCTCCACCTCTACCTGCGATACATCACAGGTGGCAGTGATATCGCCGATCGACTCCATCATGACCACGATGTACACGGCCAGCAGGGGTAGGATCAGAGGTGCGTAGATGGTCAGAGGGAAGGTGCGGACCCAGATGAACGAGGCCACAGGGGCAGCATCGATGCTCGACCGGTCGAAGTATCCGCAAGCGGCAGCAATGATGCATCCAACGAGCAGGCCGATGATCACAGCGCAGGACTTCATCATTGGAGCGCCAAATCGTTCGCACAGGATAATCGTCACAAAGACCGAAAAGCCGAGTCCGATGAACTCGGGGCTGCCCCAAGGGAGAGCATGTGGCGAGTCGGCACTAGGGCACAGTGCACGGCTGGCTGCATCCGTAAAACAGGTTCCCGAGCCACCGGCCCAGTCCTCCATACTCGACTGAATCAGACTGGCTCCAATCAACAAAATCGTGGGGCCGGTCACCAATGGCGGGAAAATGCGTTTCAGAATCCGAGGGCTCATGAACGACAAGCCAATTTCGAGCAAGGAACACAGACACGACGTGCCCAGCAGAGCCCCATAGCCCTTCGGACAAGGCAGGCGGTTCCCATCGCTATCTACCGGGCAATATCCCGACGTGTACATTTGGTTGAACGTTCCGGACGCCACTGTGATGGTAGCGAACGAGGTACCAACAACCGAAATCAACCCCGTTCCGACATAGAAGCGAGTTTTGTAGATGTGGAATCGGGCCATCTGTACGGCGGACAAGAGACCGGAGACGATAAGTGAAGTTGAGACCAGGTATTCGTAGTCCTTCGTGCCGAAATTGGCACCACTCGTGCCACCGAGCAGGATAGGAGGTGAGATGACTATTGAGGTCAGCAACGGGTTGTAATTCCAGGAACCTGTCCAACGAACCTCCACCCAGCATTGCCAGCGCATGTTGTAAACCCAAGAGGACGGCCAAAAGAACGGGGACTTTATCCTCCAGTCCGAAGAAGGGAGCGGACCTGCGGCCCCTGTTGAAGAACGGAAGGTTGGGGGTGAAAAGGTATGCATAATCGTAGTCACCGACCAGTCCCTCTCTACAAGATACTTGTTAGTATGGAGGAACGGCTCCATCATGACTCTACCAGGCACACATACCTGGTAGTGAATGTCTTGACCATGCGCCGGGTCTTCTCCCGCCAGGACCGTTTAGGTCGCAAGTCGGGACCGATCTGATCAGGTCCGTCCATGCTGAATAATACTTGGAGATGGATACAAAGATAGGTGGAGACGGGGTAGTAAACTGAAGGATAGATAGAATTGCCGAATCGGACTGTGGTCTAGACAAGCTCTCAACTCGTGGAATGAATCTGGAGATTCTAGCTTGAGATCACCCCAGAATTGTCCGAAACATTTGATGTCTATATAGATGGCAGCTTCATCACCGGCTTCCGAAGGAAATTCGTGTGGTCTCAGCGATCGGGTGCAAAGGATGATAGGAGACTATCGGTGGCGTGGAGGTGCGTGAATCAATCGAATAATGCCTTGGACTGGTTATCTCTAGGCTCTCCACGACTGGGAGGCGACCGACTGGAGACTGGGGAGATACCCAAGCGAGAGCACTAGACTGGACTAGAGAGACGAGAGAGGAGGCGGTCGAATCTTGGGTGGTCATGGTGGGGTCCCGCGCGATAAGACTCAAGCTCGCTGACTGTCGGTTCATGTAACGCCTGTCGCCGGCTTATCAGTTCTTCCCCCAGATCGGGATCCGCCGACATCCATCTTCGGTGGCGGGGCTTCCTCGGTGGTTATCTGGCTGTATAGATCGAGAGGAGTGCGAACACCAATTCTTCGACTCCCATACGGTCGAACTGTCTGGGGTTGAACTGTTTCTTTTATGATAGAGATGAGATCTGAGGACGAAGTACGGGAAGTTGCATGGAGTACAGCCCATGATGGATTGAGCATGGGTCGAACAGTCCGGGGAAGAACCAGAACCGATCAGGCAATCCATTAGTCACAGAAACTGGCCATTCGAGGGGACACGGCGGCGGGTAAATGTCAGTCCGAATTCCATCCCCTGGTGTCAACTGGTGCCAACTCTATCACAACCACGCTGACTCCGGCTTTTGACTAACCTCGATCTAACTAACTACTACTTTGGTGAGTTAAATAACAGTCATTCCAATTCTGGACCGCATCTCGTCCCTTGCACAGAACGAGCATGGTGGTACCAGGTGATGTCCGGAGTAGTCGCCCGCCAATGACTTGTCCTACCTGCCAACTGGGCAAGGTGCATGGAGTCTGAGGAATCAAACGTGACCATAAATTATGCACTGGATAGTGTTGTGCTAAGTGGCGCGAAGCAATGGCTTAGCTGTGACATCGACGGCATTAATTCCAGGAATCAGCGACGGGTCATGCTTGTGTAGGTTTAGGTAAGCGGCTGACTCAAGCATATGGAAAGTCCTTGCCTACCTTGCCATGATCCGAGGATATCCTACCGTAGGTATAATTGTGCTCGTGCACCTTGACATCAAGTGACCGCTTCGATCTATGCATCTCCGGGCTTCTGCCTGAGGCAGGGGCAGGACGAGGTGAGCGCCAAGTGAAATGTCTGGGGTACGAGACTAGTCCGAGTTTCTGTCGGTGACTCGATGCGCAACATCTGTGCTCCCAATCCCCTACATGACATACCCAGGAAGAGGCATCGACCCGGAGTACTGAGGAGGGCCACTGCGGCAGGTAAGAGCTTGTATAATTACTCCACACTGGTTGCGATGTTTCAAGCTATGGAGGTTCCACATGGCATCACGTGTAGACACGAAGCTCTGGGATGTTGTTGTTGTCGACCGAGCCTGAGCTGGTCATGTTGGGACTGTGGGAGATTAGTTCTGCCTGAATCATATGGCGACGATCAGCTACGAGATTGACCCGAACTGCAAGCTAGTCTGGACCATCATTGACTTCCCGTAGTGGCAAATTGAACGAAAATTCAAGGTTGCCGCCTATAGGGCTGCATCAGCTGCTTTGCTGGGAATTCCAGAACTACTCCTCGCCCGACCCAAAACACATTGCATTGGCCTTGATTTACCGAATGCATTCAAGTGCTAATGACCCCGGAGTTGCTCCCTCCGTCAGCCCACCTGTAGTAAGAGATTGATAACGAATCAGCCGGGGAGCTGGTGTGCAGCAGCGGAGAGAAGAGCCACTGGATGGCAAATGGACGGGGCCTTTGCCACACACTAGCACACTAGCCACGGAGGGAGGCGGTGATCAGCCACAGCCGCCTGCCAGGGCAGAAAAACGTTGGGGATTCAACAGATGTTACTGGACTGCTGATTGGCTGGACGTAGCCGGGGTTGCCGAAATGGGCAGAGGCTGGCCGGGGCTGGTCTGTCGAATCATGTCTCGCCCAACAAGCTTAGATGGTGGAAGAACGGGTGTTTTGTATGGTTGGAACTCTGTTGGAAGCTGGCTGAAGTGGTGTGGAAGATCCCTCCCGAACCTGAAGCTGTCCTTCTCTGGAGTGTACTTGAGTGTACTTACGGAGTACACTCACCAGTCTATGATTCTTTCATATCCCGTTCCATCCTAGAAGCACCGTGTATGTGTTGCATTCGTCTTTAAAAACAGTACCTCGGGATCTTCTCTTTTCACTTGCCCCGGCCACCGGTCATCCAGCAGTCAGACCACTCACCACTGACCTGTGATCAAATCACTTTCCGGATTCTCTCATTGCCGCATCATCCATCTTCGCCGCCAACCTTGCGTTTCCCCAACCATCATCCCGCCCAGTGGACCCTGGGTCGAGTTCAACTCCGTCCGATTTTTTCCCCTCCCCTCTGGGATTTGTTAAGATCCTTCATTCCTTTGCTGACTCCTCTCTTGCCTTCTGGATTGGATTATATTCCCCACCCTCTCCTTGCCTCATTCTTTTTTTCTTCCCTTCTTTTATTCTTTGGGTCTCTTCTTCAATTCTTCCCTTTCTTAAAATCTCCCTCCCCCGGATCCTCCCATCCGCTTCGACCACTTCGTCTTTCCACCACCCTCCACGTACTCACCTTGTAGAGGGTAGACGAGTGACACCACACCACTCAAAATGTCTGCAAAGCCAGCGGACGCTTCCCGGTCTCGTGCCGCGGATCCTAAGAAAGTTCACATTGCCGACACTGCGATCAACCGCCAG